AGAGGCGCATCTGGCGGATGCCGCTCTTCACCTTGCGCGCCTCCTCCTCCTTCTGCAGCTGCTGCTCCTCGTAGTCGCTGCGCTCGGGGTCCGAGTCCTCCTGATACTTGCGCTTCGCCCCGGACACCGGGTAATGTTCGGCGGCGGCGGCGGCCGCGGCGGCGGCGGCCACGGCGGCGGCCGCGGCTGCGGCGGCCTCCCGGCTGCCGGCCTTGTAGTTGTCCCGGGACGTCATGGACTTGAGCTTCTCACGCAGGTCGGTGTAGCCGCTGGCGGCCGCCATGGCCCCCACGACGCTGCTCTAGGGTCCTCCGGGGCAGGCGGGGCAGCCGGGCATGGCTCTAGGGGAACGCGCCCCGGGGACCCCGGAGGGAAAGAGGGTCCTCAGCGCCAAACTCCCATACGTGGGCTGGAGACCCGGCGGGGGGCGTCGAGGGTCGGGGCGTGGAGTCGGGCCTCAGGGGCGGCGGGTCATGCAACGACAACGGGGCTTCTTCCTCCTCCACCTTCTCCACGTCCTGGGGGGCAGGAGCGCCGGCAACGCCTCATGCCGCGGAGGGCTGCCGACTCCCGATCAGACCCTCGGACGCCCGGCCCGGCCCGCACTTTAAAGCTCTCCTCACGACGTCACGGGCCGCCAACCCGACGTCCGCCAGCGCCGCTCCTTAGCGGGTTCCTCGCCGCGCAAGCGTAGTGCTGCCGGCCACCGCGGCTCCGCGCGCTACAGGCATGCGCGTGCGTGCAAGTCGGGTCGGCGGAGGCGCCGGCGCAAGCGCAGACCAGGACCGCTCGCCGTCCGCCGCCCCTCCCCCACTAGCTGAGGGGCTTCGAGAGAACGCTCTCAAACAGCAACCTGTCTCCACGCCGCGCCGCCTCCAGGACCGAAGGGCTCCCTCTACAGGGTGCGCTCACACAGCCAACAGTATCGCCATGCCGCGTCACGGCATCGTCTGAATGTCAGCAGACGCCTCAACCCCAGCGTGCAATCACCAGGGAACCGCCACAACCCAGGCCACCCCGTTACCTCCCCCTTTGGCACTTCCACTTCTTTAATTGGGCCGTCGGCCACGCGCAGGGCAGGCCCTGACTGGAGCTTCCGGAAGTCGGTTGGTAATTATGCCCATCAATCAGGCAGTCTCCTAAGTTACTGCGTCCGTCACTTAATTAGTGGCTGGGAGAGCAGCGAGGACCCCTAAAGGGGAAATGGGTGGCTGAATAAGTGCCTGAATGGAGACTCCGCTGAGGAAAGCCCTCAGGATGCCTAAGGAAACTTCTGAAACCCGCGAAAACTTCTCAGATTGCGGGACCGAGAGCACCTGGCCTCAGCTCGGAACACAGATAGGAATGTCAGGCAGAAGCCGGACGCGCGTTGTAGGGGTACAAGCCAGCCTGCTGCCGTGGCCGCCCGGAGCAGACGTTCCGCTAGTCACGTCCCGGTGACGGCTGCCGCGGGGGCGCGCTGCGGTGGTGTCGAGCCTTCTGGGTGCTGGAGATGGGCGTGGAGGCACCTCCTTCGGGAACGGCGGAAGAAAACACCAGGAAGCGAACGGGAGCAAGGATAAAGCTAAGCTATAATGACTGAAGTCAATTCGAAAAAGTTTTGAAGCTGTCAGCAAAGGTGTGGCTGGGCGCAGGGTCTCACGCCTGTAATCCCAGCACTCTGCAAGGCCGAGGCGGACCGATCACTTGAGCCCAGGAGTTCGAGACCAACCTGGCCAACATGGCGACCCCATCTCTACAATAAAATTTTTTAAATGAGCTGGGCGTGGTGGCGCGCGCCTGTGGTCCCAGCTACTCGGGAGGCAGAGATGGGAGGGTCACTTGAACCCAGGAGTTCGAGGCTGCAGAGAGCCGAGATCGGTCCACTGCACTCCCGCCTGGGCAGCAGAGCTCCGAAACAAAACGGAAAGGCGTGGCTGTGCAGGATGCACTGGAGGGCTCCAACAAAAGGGAGCTTCTGCTGAAAAATCTCCCATGTCTCCCCAAGATAAAGTCCAGCTGCTTTATTTGGCTCTCAAAGACTCTTAGGGCCCTGCCTCCTCCTCTCTCCTCTTTCCACGTACACTGAGCCTCAGCCCTGTCCTCAAACTGTAAGACAGGTCTACAAACATACTGTGTCTCACCTCCTGGCCTTTGCCCAGGCTGTTTCCACCACCTGGAATGCCAGTTCCTTATCACCCGTCTCTCTTTTTTTATTTTTATTTTTATTTTTTGGGGAAAGTCTCTGTTACCCAGGCTGCAGTGAAGTGGTGCAGCCTTCACTGACTGCAACCTCGACCTCCCAGGTTCAAGCGATCCTCCCACACCTCAGCCTCCTGAGTAGCTGGGAATACAGGCGTGCATTACACGCCCCGCTAATTTTTCTGTTTTTAGTAGAGATGGAGTTTCACCATGTTGCCCAAATTGGTCTCGGAAATCCTGGTCACAAGGATCCTCCCGCCTAGGCTTCCCAAAGTGCTGCGATTACAGGCGTGAGCAACCATGCCCAGCCTGGAATGGACGTTTTTGTTTTGTTTTGTTTTTTGAGAGGGAGTTTCGCTCTTGTTACCCAGGCTGAGTGCAACGGCGCGATCTCGGCTCACTGCAACCTCTGCCTCCTGGGATCAGGCAATTCTCCTGCCTCAGCCCCCTGAGTAGCTGGGATTACAGGCACCCACCTCCATGCCCAGCTAATTTTTTGTATTTTTAGTAGAGACAGGGTTTCACCATGTTGACCAGGATGGTTCGATCTCTTGACCTCGTGATCCACCCGCCTCGGCCTCCCAAAGTGCTGGGATTACAGGCGTGAGCCACCAAGCCCGGCCCTGGAATGGACGTTTTTTAAAAAGCTTATCAAGTTTTTACTATGTGCCAGGGCCTATGTATGTATACTAACCCAATTAATCCTCCAAACACCTCAACGTGGGGGGCATTATTATTATCACCACCATATATATAGGGAAACAGGCCCAGATAAGTGAAATGACCTGCCCAAGGCCATAAAGCCAATATGTGGCCTAGTGACGATTCAAACCCAGGCAACCTGGTTCCAGAATCTGTGCTGCCCTTCACTGGGGCTCAGAGAGGGGAGGGTCCTAGCTCAAGAGCAGTCAGGGTGGAACACAGGGAAGCTTCCAATGCAGTGTCTGCGATGGGAGAGGCTGTGTCAACCTAGAGAAGAGATGATTCACATTTTGGCTCAACCTGGAGGATCCACTAACAAGAGGCTGCTTGTGGTCTATGTGGTAGGCCCCAGTTGTATTCTGAAAGCCAAAAGGGCCCCCTGGTTTTCACTCTTTGCCACATTATCCCTTCCTGAGCCCCATAGTTTAGCTTGACTAGGGAGAGGGTTTAGGGCAAAAGTAATTATTGAGCCTGATACCCCCTTCCCCCCCCCCACACCATGTATGATCTCACAACACTAAGAAATGAGGGGCAGAGGACAGGCCTCAGGGCTGCCTCATGTTGTAGCCACTGTGCTCTGTTTTGGGGGTCCCCACACTGAGGGAGCACCAGAGCTGCTGGCAGAACCCCAGGGGCAAAGTAGGTGAGCTGCTGCCAGCCATGGCCCCTGCACAGTGGTAACTTGATTGACACCACACTCTTTCTGGTGAGTTCCTTACTTTTCTCAACTCAGGGTTTGCTTCTGGCGAAAGTCAACCCAAAGCAATGTGAAAAATGGGACAGCCCTGTGGCATTTGTATCAGGGACTCTTTCTTGATCCTCTCCATCCTAGGATGGTCTAATTGCCCCCCTGGTCCTGCCAGCTGGAACTTCTAATCTCTCCCAAGTTACCAACTTCTACCCACCCCTGTCACCATCACTAGAATCCATGCCACAGTTTTCCAGCTAACACTACAGCAGCCCCTCTGGTCTCCCCAACTCCTACATTCACTCACTGCTCAATGGTCAGCGTGGCTTTTACAAAGTACAATCTGTGCAGGTTGCACCACCCTTTCCCCCTCCGGCAAACCTTTGAAGGCTCCTCATGGCTCTTGGGATGAAATCCTAAATTCTTTTTTTTTTTTTTTGAGACCGAGTCTAGCTGCCTAAGCTGGAGTATAGTGGTGCAATCTTGGCTCACTACAACCTCCACCTCCTGGGTGCAAATGACTCTTGTGCCTCAACCTCCCTAGTATCTGGGATTACAGGCACTTGCCACCGTCCCTGGGTAATTTTTGTATTTTTAGCAGAAACAGACTTTCACCATGTCGGCCACTCTGGTCTCAAACTCCTGAGCTCAAGTGATCCACCTGCCTCAGCCTCCCAAAGTGCTGGGACTACAAGCATGAGTCACCGCACCCCGCCCAGAAATCCTAAATTATTATTATTATTTTTTGGAGACTGAGTCTCGCTTTGTTACCCAGGCTGGATTGCGGTGGCATGATCTTGGCTCACTGTAGCCTCCTTCTCCCGGGTTCAAGCAATTTTCTTGCCTCAGCCTCTGAGTAGCCGGGACTACAGGTGCATGCTGCCACACCCAGCTAATTATTTGTATTTTAGTTGATGGGGTTTCACTGTGTTGCCCAGGCTAGTCTCAAACTCCTGAGCTCAGGCAATCCTCCCACCTAGGCTTCCCAAAGTGCTAGGATTACAGGCATGAGCCATCACACCCAGCCTAGAAATCCTAAATTCTTTTTTTTTTAATGTTGAAATCCTAAATTCTTAATGTAGCCCAGGATCCCTACTCAAACCATCTTTGGAGTCCTCTTCAGTCTCAGATCCTGCCACAAGTAATGCATACCTCAGGGTCCCTGCATATGTTGTTCTCTTTCCTCATTCCCCAGCTAACTCCCACTCACAGGTTTTGTCCTAGTTTGTGGTAATTTGACTGTGATTAACTGCTAGAGCCTGGTATTTGCCTAGGTATTTGGATAGCTCGAATGGCTGAATGAGTAGGTAACTTTTCTCTGCTGCCATGGATCTTGCAGTTTATGCCCCATCTACCTATCTAGTCTCCCATTCCCAAGCTAGGTGCTCCCTGCTCCACAGAAACTCCCCAAAGAACCAGCACATTCCAACAACATTCATTCGTTTATTCTTTCATTCATATGACAAATATTTTTAAAGTGCCTACTCTGTGTTCGGTGTCCTCTGGTTTCTGGGGGATACAGCAGGAAACAAACATGATTTTCTCTGGAATTTTTATCCCGCTCTCTTCCATCTATTCTTAGCAAACTCCTACTCATCTTTCAAAACTCAACGCTAATGTCCCATTTTCCAAGAAGCCTTTTCCCAGACTTCTCCCTTATATCACTCTCAAACTTGTGTGGTCCATCAGGTGATGGGGGTCTGGGGTTGGGGATACCCAAGGAGTTGGGGAGGATCTGTTCATAGGCAGTGAGTCAGGGGCCTAAGATACCTCCAACTCCTGCCTCCTCCCTCAGGCTTGTTTTCCAGCCACTTAGCAACTCCATGGAGAAATGGCTGCCAGGCACACCTTTTGTTTGTACAGAAATAACCAGGCTAACTGAAATCCAGGCTAACTGGCAGTACAAGGAGGAGCCCCTTAGGAGGACAGGTAGGGCTGGGATGTGGAGTTGGAGCAGATTCCAGTGTCAGATCCTTAGTAAACCGAAGGCAGAGTCCAGTTCATCTAGGCAACTGGTGTGGGGCTTCTGTGCCATAGCAGGAGTTAGGGGCAGGGTCTGCAATAGGTACAAGGCAGAAGGCCTCAGGGTCCTGCCTTCTGCTCCACTCCACTGTGGGCCAATTACTGAAAGTTCCTCCTGCTATCTGACCCGAGTCTGCATACTGCCATTCCATCATATTCAGGATGGGTCTTCTTGGGTTCTTGAGGATTTGAGTTGCTCCTCCTGCCTCCTTTTGCTATCCTCCAAGGTTCTGGCCCCTTACAGGGGTCATTGATCCTGAGAGGTCCACTGACTACCCTGAGGCCACACAGTGAGTCTTCTGGCAGAAGGTACTGGAGGGCTGGGGGCTGGGTCAGAGCAGGGTGATCTCGCTGGGGGGCAGTGTGAGCCGCTTCTCACGGGCACTGAGCAGGTTCTCCACGTGCACAGCCACCACACGACAGAGTTCCAGTCCCTGCAGGTGACGGTGACAGTCTACACCCATCCAACCCTTCCCCAGCTCTTACCTTGGGGTGGGACGTGCAGAAGGGAGAGGTGGTGGGAGATAGGTCGAGACCACCATTCATGCAGGAACCCTTGTTCCCACCTCCCCCAGGGCCTGAGAGGAGCATGAGGAGCTGGAAGAATGGTGGACTGTGGGCTGCAAGGGGTAAGCAAGCAGGTGGTCAAGTGCCTCTGCCAGCTTTGCTCCATATGAGCTGTGACCTGGAGTCTATTGTTTTGCCTCTCTGAACCTCAGTGGCCTCATCTGTAAGATCTCAATTGACAATGGGCTTGCCTCACAGGGCTGTGGTGAGGATTCAGTGAGACTTTATTGCATGTAAATTCTTTAGATTTAAAAAATATGAATCCAATAAATGGTAACAGTTTCTGTCTGTTGCCATGGTTACTGCCTGGCTCCCACAGCACACAATGGGCAGTGACCCAGGCTCAGTGCTCCCAATTGGAGTGGGTGTAGGGGAAGGCATCAATGAATTGCAGAAAATCGATCTGTGAGGGTGGTTCTCAGACCAAAGCCATTGTTGGAATCCCCCCAGGGAAGCTGATCTGAGAAAGGATAAAATCATGTTAGTAGCACTCTCTGAGTGTTAACTGTGTGCCAGGCCTTGTCCTAAAGGCCCGATGTGTCCTACTTGTTTTAATCCCCACAGTGTCTCTAAGAGACAGGAGCTATTATATCCCATTCCACAGGTGGAGAAACTGAGGTGTAGGGCCTTGAAGCTCTAGACTACACAATTTGTAGGTGGTGGCATTTGAACCTGGATGGTAAGAGGCCTGAGGGCCACACTGTGAAGTGCTCTCTGCTGAGGTTAGCTGTGCTGGCCCTGCCTTGTGGGCCACCTTAGCTAATTAAATCAGTATGTGCAAATGGAGTCTTCCCCTCCAGCCAATCCTTTACCTACCCACTTGCTGCCATGTTCTAGGCCTTGCTGGGATTGTTGCTGCATTTGACAGTATGGAAGCTGAGGCTCAGTGAGAAGCGGGGATGCCGCAAGATCCCCTCAGTCAGTCTGTCAGAGGTAGACAGGATGGGGGCCCAGGTCTATTGCAGCACTGCTGCACTTAAGACATCACCTCCTTCTGGAAGCTCTCCCCAATTACCTCCCAGATAGCTCAGGTCCCCTATATACCTTCCCAGCACTGATCAAGGGATATTGGAGAGATTCTTTTATATCTGAGACCCGAGGCTCTGTGAGGTCCAGGGTTGAGGGGGTCTCAGTCATTTCAGTATCTTTGCTACACAGAGATGTTCAATGGATCTGAATGCGTGAATGAATGCAGCCCCTGACACATACAGGCCAGAGGCAGAGGTGGCAGCATAAGGAGATCAGGTGGTGCTGCAAGGAAGTAGGAAAACCAAAGAGGCCTTTATCCATCCATCCATCTATGCACCCACCCATGCAGTCTACAAATATGTATGGAGCATCTACTATGTGCCAGGCACTGAGCTACAGACACAGCATGAACAAGATGGACAAATTCCTGCTTCTTGGAGCTGGCATTCTGACGGGAGAATGATACAGTTTGGGTATTTGTCCCTTCCAAATCTGATGCTGAAATGTGATCCCCAGCCAGGTGTGGTGGCTCATGCCTGTAATTCCAGCACTTTGGGAGGCCAAGATGGGTGGATCACTTGAGGCCAGGAGTTTCAGACCAGCCTGGCCAACATGGTGAAACCTCGTCTCTACTAAAATACAAAAAAAAAAATAGCCAGGTGTGGTGGCGCATATCTGTAATCCCAGTATTTGGGAGGCTGAGGCAGGAGAATCGCTTGAACTGGGGAGGCAGAGGTTGTAGTGAGCCGAGATTACTCTGCCTGGGTGACAGAGTGAGATCTTGTCTCAAAAAAAAAAAAAAAAAAAAAAAAGAGAAAAGAAAAGAAAAGAAATGTGATCCCCAGTGTTGGAGACAGGACCTGGTGGGAGGCAAATCCCTCATGAATGACTTGGTAACCCGGAGGTAATGAGTGAGTCCTCACTCTGATAGTTCACACAAGAGCTGCTTGTTTGGACTCTTTTTCCCTCTCTTGTCACGTGACGTGCCTGCTTCCTCTTTGCCTCCTGCCTTGAGTAAAAACTTCCTGAGGCCTCCCCATAAGCCAAGCAGTTACTGGCAAGATGCTTCTTGCAGAGCCTGCATAACCCTGAGCCAGATAAACTTCTTTTCTCTGTAAATTACACAGTCTCTAGTATTCCTTTATAGCAATGTAAAGTGGACAAATATAGGGAGACAATGCATAAACAAATAACTAAATGATTTCCAAGCCATAATAAGGGCTGCGGAGGCATGGATCATGAGTTCTTAGGGAGGATGGTTACGGAAGGCTTCTGGAAAAAGGTGATATTTGTACTGAAACCCAAATAAAGGGAGACAGTGGGCCCTGTGATGAATCAGGGAAGAGCGTTCCAGGTGGAGAGAACAGTGAGGGCAGAGTGCCCAGGGCAGGAAGAACAAGCTCAGTACGAGGGAGCCAGGGTAGCTAGAGGAATATGAGCAGAGGGGAGGGAGGTGGGAGAGGAGGCCACCAAGGTCATGAGAGGAGGGGACAGGGATGGGATGGACTCCCAGGTTTGGGGCCTGAGTGCCTGGGAGGATAGGGAGGAAAGCTGGAGAGGACTGTTAGTTTCCAAGGGAGATGCTGAAGGACCTGGAGCTCGGGAGGTCTGGGCAGAAGGTAAAGCTATGGATGCTGGGCCAGGTGCGGTGGCTCACGCTATAATCCCAGCACTTTGGGAGCTCTAGGTGGGTGGATCATGAGGTCAGGAGTTTGAGACCAACCTGGCCAACGTGGTAAAACCCTGTCTCTAGTAAAAATACAAAAAATTAGCCAGGCATGGTGATGTGTGCCTATAATCCCAGCTACTCACGAGGCTAAGGCAGGAGAATCTCCTGAACCCAGGAGGTGAAGATTGAACTGAGATCACGCCATTGCACTCCAGCCTGGGTGACAGCGAGACTCTGTTCCCCCCACAAAAAAAGAAATATGGGTGCTGTGATGGTAGACATGGTTTTGAAAGCCTCAGGATCAGACAGGGTTCCCTGGGGAGAGGCCCAGAGACAGCAACGTTTAGAGATCATCTAGGGGGCCAGGTGTGGTGGCATACACCTGTAATCCCTACACTTTAGGAAGCTGAGGTGGTGGATCACTTGAGATCAGGAGTTTGAGACCAACCTGGCCAACATGATGAATCCCCATCTCTACTAAAAATACAAAAGTTAGGCATGGTGGCATGCACCTGCAGTCCCAGCTACTCAGGAGGGTGAGGTGGGATTATTACTTGAACACAAGAGGTCGAGGTTGCAGTGAGCCAAGATCACGCCACTGCACTCGAGCCTAGGCAACAGAGCAAGATTTTGTCTCGAAAAAAAAAAAAAAAAGATTTTCCAGGGGTGGAAGGACCAAAAAGAACCAAAAAAGGAATGACCAGGCTCATACAAGGAGGTTGGAGAAGGATGGGTGCCGTGGCTCAGCTTGTAATCCCAGCACTTTGGGAAACTGAGGTGGGAGGATCATTTGAGGCCAGGATTTTAAGACTAGTCTGGGCAACATAGCAAGACCCTGTCTGTACTGGAAAAAAAAAAAAAAAAAGGAGGTAGGAGAACACCACAGCACCATTGCAGGGGCTCAGGTAGGTGGTCTCAGGGAGGGAGGGGGCAGGCCTGGGGCCCAAGGCTACCAGTGGGTAAGGCAAGGATCTGTGTGACCCCAGGCAGGAGAAGACTGGGGTGTGGTGGGGAGTGCACTAGGACCTTAGGCCCAAGTAACAGGTTTTCCAAGGGACACATGGGGCCAAGGAGATTTTGTTCTGGTCCTGTCCCTCAGAGGCAGGGCTAGGGCAATGGAAGACCCTCTTTCTTGCCCTGGGAAATCATGAGAGTGGTGCTGGGCCTAGACCTGGAGAGGGTATGTCACAGGCTGGACAGGGCAGACATGTGGGTATCAACCTCGATTCTATACCTTCTCTGGGCCTGAAGCCTATCTCTTCAGTGGGGTGAAAATGTGACCCTTGCCCTGACCCCAGGGGACTGTGAGACTTGGACAGGAGGAGCCTAGAGGTCATTCATGCTTTTTAAATTTTATTTTAGAATCGGGGTCTCACTTTGCCAACCAGGCTGGAATGCAGTGGCATCATCACAGCTCACTGCAGCCCCAAACTCCAACTCCTGGGCTCAAGCAATCCTCCCACCTCAGTCTCCTAAATAGCTGGTACTATAGGCACGTGGGACTAAAGTACTATAGGGCTAAAGGCAGCTGGGACTATAGGACTATCGGACTAAAATCACCCAGACTGGTTATTTTTTAATTTCGCTCTTGTTGCCCAGGCTGGAGTGCGATGGTGTGATCTCGGCTAACTGCAACCTCCATCTCCTGGGGTCAAGCGATTCTCCTGCCTCAGCCTGCCAAGTAGCTGGGATTTCAGGCATGCGCCACCACACCCGGGTAATTTTGTATTTTTAGTAGAGATGGGGTTTCTCCATGTTGGTCAGGCTGGTTTCTAACTCCCAATCTCAGGTGATTTGCCCACCTCGGCCTCCCAAAGTGCTGGGATTACAGATGTGAGCCACAGTTCTCAGCCCACCCCTGCCTTTTGAGTAACAGCCACAGTTGCTGCAAACATGGGAAGGCACGGGGCAGGTAGGTCTCAGTTTTACCATCTGTCACACAGGAAGCTCACTTTCCCCACCCTCAATCCCAGGGCCTACAAGCAAGCCTCCACATCTCAGCCCAGGTGAACCTTCTCAAACCTCTCGTGTCCTTGCCCTCTCATCAACCTTCTATGGCTCTGTACTGCCCTTTCCTGTGTTCCCACTGCCAAGTTGCTTCCTTGGATGACCACTATAATGACCTGCAGTTCTGTGCTGTGCTGTGGTTGGTTCTGTCCCATGCACTGGCCTGGATATTCCCTGGGGCATGGCAGGGACCTGACCTATCTTGGAACCAGGTCCAGAGAAGAGCCCAGTGAGTGGAATGCTGAGGTGAGGGCTGGGCCCACCTGTTCCAGCTGCAGCTGCAAGGTTCGCTGGGCCACCACATCCCCCAGTGAAATCTCCACGTAGGGGTAGCTGGAGTTGGCTGTGGGCCGCTGGGTCTGCGTTGACTGGATCTCCTTCAGGGGGAACTTCACCATCAATTCCTGGGAGTAGTGGGAGAGGGGCCAGACAGGCCTGTGGGTGAGGATAGTCTCAACCACTCTTACCCCTCCCCTGCAAATCAGATCAGTAGGAGGCAGGAGACTCCAGTTCAAGTACCTGTTCCCCAGTGACTTGTGTGACCTTGAGCAAGTCACTTAACCTTTCTGGACCTCAGTTTCCTCACCTGTGAAACTGATTCAACAAATACTGATGATGCATCTACCATGTGCTAGGCACTGCTCTAAGTTCTTGGGATACACTTAGTAGATGCTGTTGGTGCCCTAACTTCACATCAAAGTTGCTTCTTGTGAACGCCTGCACCTCTTTTTAAAACTTTCTTTTTGTGGAGAACAGGGCCTCCTGTGTTGCCCAGGCAGGTCTCAAACTCCTGGGCTCAAGCAATCCTCCTGCCTCTGCTTCCCTAAGTGCTAGGGTTACAGATGTGAGTGTCTAGCCTTTCTAGGGGCTTTTTTCTGGCCCAGGAAGCAAACTTGGACCACATACAGAAAAAGTCAGAGTGATGGAGAGTTAATGCCTCAGGAAGAAGCCCTTGCTAATGACAGATGGGAAGCTGAATAGACACCCTGGCTTCCTTGCCCCCAGGAGAGAAGGAAAGCTCTAAGCTGTCTCTCAGGTCCCCCCCTGGACTGAACTTCAGGTGCCCACATCAGCAACTTGCTTGCTAACATGGCCTTTACTGGCTCCATCCCTTCCCTGACTGACTTCCTCACTCCAGTGTTTCCTGGAATCAACTCTAAATCAACCAGTTGCCCTTGAATCCCAGTCTCAGGGTCTAGTTCTGGGAGCAAAAACTAAGGGGGTAACAGATCCTACTTATGGGCTGAATTGTGTCTCCCACCAAATCCCCATGTTGAAGCCCTAACTCCCAATGCCTCAGACTGTATTTAGAAGTAAGGCCTTTAAAGGAGTGATTAAGTTAAAATGGAGTCTTCTAATATGACAGATGTCCTTATAAGAGGAAATTTGGATATGCAAAGAGATACCAGTGTTGTGCACACACAGAGGAAAGGCCATGTGAGGACACAGTGAGAAGACACTCTCTGCAAACCATCAAAGAAACCAAACCTGCTGACACCTTGACTTTGGACCTCCAGCCTCCAGAACTGTGAGAAATAAACTTCTGTTGTTGAAGCTACTGAGTCTGTGGTCTTTTGTTGTGGCAGCCCAAGCACACGGATGCACTATTTGAGTGCTTAGGGTATGTTTTACCTCATCTCACCTTCGCAACAGCCCTATGGTTAGGGCTCAATTCTTATCCTCATTTTCCAGATGAGGAAAGCAAGGCTTAGAGAGGGGAAGAGACTTGCCCGAGATCATGCAGTGGTAAGCAGTGAAACCGGGCTTCAGCAGCTGGAGGTCCTGGCCCCTTGGAGGGGTTAGGGAACCAGGGAACAGAGGGCAGTGATGGCAGGGCCAGGCTGAGACCACTCACATGAGTCTCTGTGCTGAGAAAGTTGAGGCCGTTGTGGTTGACGGCAAGGATGCAAGGGGCTGGAACAGTGATGTTGCTGCAGCTCTGAATGAAGAAGAAGGAAGAGCCGAACATAGGTAGGGCGCTGAGGAGACCTGGGCAGGGAGAGGGGCCAGCAGTTACGTGTTGGGTAGAACTCACTGACAACAGCCCTGGCTCTGAGCTGCACAGCTGGCCTGCAGCCTGTATCTTCTCTGGGCTGTATCCAGCCAGTGCAGGAGCCCTCAGTCTGGGTCTCCACCCATCTCTGGCCTCCCTTCTCATGGCTTCTTCCTCTATCCCTGTGTGCAGCTCTTCTTCCTCTATTCAGGGCCATTCTGAGCCTAGGTGACATCTCCATAAAAATTGTAAAACATGTTTGCTCCAGGGAGGTGCTCAGTTTAGCCAGCACTGAAAAATGCCTTTGTGCAAAGAAAGAGGTGCCTCCATACCCATCCTCCATGACTACTCTCCTCAGCAAAGCCCCCTATGATCACCTCCCCTGCCCTGCAGCTCTTACCCAGAAACTGGGCGCGGGCCTGGTGGGGGCTGAGCGCCTGTGTCTGCTGCCGGTGCTGGCTGACCAGGTTGAGCCAGGTTGAGCCTGCTGTTGTACGGTAGAGCTGGGCTGGGATGTAATCCTGGACTTCTCGCCTGTGTATGGAGGGAGGGGAAAAGGTCCTGAGTGAGCTCATAGGCTCATGCAATCCTCACTGTGCAGCATGCATGCAGAGCAAACCTGATCTCTGCGACTCCCTGCTGGGGAGTATAAATGGGCTGAAGGTGGGGTAGAGGCACTCACAGTTGCTTGGTACTGCATAATCACTGCCTGGGCCAGTACCACTAGGATCCCTGTTTGCAGTTAAGGTAACTGAGGCTCTGAGAAGTTCACTGACTAGATAAGGTCACACAGTGACTGAGTGAGTTACCGTCATGGGTTGGCAGGAGCAAGACTTGAACCTAAGACAATTTCTTTTTTTTTTTTTGAGCTGGAGTTTCGCTCTTATTGCCCAGGCTGTAGTGTACTGGTGCAATCTTAGCTCACCGTAACCTCCGCCTCCTGGGTTCAAGTGATTCTCTTGCCTTAGCCTCCTGAGTAGCTGGGATTACAGGCATGTGCCACCATGCCCAGCTAATTTTTTGTATTTTTCGTAGAGACAGGGTTTCTCCATGTTGGTCAGGCTGGTCTTGAACTCCTGACCTCAGGTGATCTGCCCACCCCAGCCTCCCAAAGTGCTGGGATTACAGGGGTGAGCCACCACGCCCAGCCTAACCCAAGGCTATTTCATCCTTCATACCCCCTGCCCCAAGGAGAAGCAAAAGCCAGAAGAGTGAGGGGAAACATGGTGGGCAAAGCCTTGAGCAAGACTGGGCAGAGACTTGAGCAGAGGAGTGCTGGGCCTCCAGGCTGGGGTCCCTGGGCATCAACTCACCCCAGCCCTCTTCCCTCTGACATATGCTGGCTACCTCAGGCAGTCCCTTTATCTCTTGGGACATCTGAAAAATATCTATAGCAGTCCCAGCCCATCCTGACCAGCTGGAGCTGCAGACGAAGGAAGGGTTGGGAGAAAGCCAGGGGAACCCTCTCCTCCCAAGAGATCCCCTGGGCAACATCTGTGCTTTTTTGCACTGCTGGGGTAAGGGCCTGGCAGCTGAACCCACCCTCCCCAGTTTTGGATCCTGGTTCCCCCATGATTATCGGGCTAGACTTCAGCAAGCCATATAACCTCTCTGGGCCTTATCTGTAAATGGGGAAAATAAAGTGCAGTTGGGAAGAATAGCTGAGATAATGCATATGCAGAGTCCCTTGCAAAAAGTAAGAACTCAATGATTTTCATCCAGGATTGGGATCATTATCTTTATGTGCTTCCTGCTCTTTTCACTTACAATTATACATTAAAAAAAAAAAAAAAAAAAAGAAGAAGCTTTTGGCTAGGTGCAGCAGCTTATGTCTATAATCTCAAGACTCTGGGATGCTAAAGAGGGAGGATAACTTGAGCCCAAGAGTTTGAGACCAGCCTGGGGAACATGATGAGACCCCGTCTCTACAAAAAATTTTAAAATTAACTGGGCATGTGGCATGTGCTTGTGGGTTCCAGCTACTTGGGAGGCTGAGGTGGGAGGATCACTTGAGCCCAAGAGGTCAAGGCTCCAGTGAGCCGTGATTGGGCCACTGAACTCCAGCTTGGGTGACAGAGAGAGACCCTGTCTCAAAAGAAATAAAATAAATAAATAAATAAAAATAAGGAGCTTTACATATTGAGTCCTTATTGTGTTATAGGTACTGGTATATACATGGTACAGACATCATTTTACTATTCTTTTTTCCAGGGGTTCTCAAAGTGTGGTCTAGGGGGTTAAAAACCATTTTCACTGGGCGTGGTTTCTCATGCTTGTAATCCCAGCACTTTGGGAGGCCGAGGTGGGCAGCTCACAATGTCAAGAGATCGAGACTATCCTGAGCAACATGGTGAAATCCCATCTCTACTTAAAAAATTTTTTTAAAAAATAGCTGGGTGTGGTGGTGTGCGCTTGTAGTATTTTTGTATTTTATAATTTTAAATTTTTGTATTTTTAGTAGAGATAAGAGTTTTACCATGTTGGCCAGGCTGGTCTCAAACTCTTGACCTCAGGTAATCCACCCGCCTTGGCCTCCCAAAGTGCTGGGATTAGAGGTGTTAGCCACTGCACTCAGCCATGAGGGCCTACTACTATGATTATTATTATTTTGAGATAGAGTTTCACTCTTGTCACATAGGCTGGAGTGCAGTGGCATAATCTCAGCTCACCGCAACCTCCACCTCCCAGGTTCTAGCTAGTCTCCTGCTTCAGACTCCCAAGTAGCTGGGATTATAGGCATCCACCACTACACCTGGCCAATTTTAAAAAAAAATTTTATTTATTTATTTATTTTTGAGATGGAGTTTTGCTCTTGTTACCCAGGCTGGAGTGCAATGGCATGATGTCGGCTCACCGCAACCTCCACCTCCTGGGTTCAGGCAATTCTCCTGCCCCAGCCTCCTGAGTAGCTGGGATTTCAGGCATGTGCCACTATGCCCAGCTAATTTTTTGTATTTTTGGTAGAGACGGGGTTTCACCATGTTGACCAGGATGGTCTCGATCTCTTGACCTTGTGATCCACCCGCCTCGGCCTCCCAAAGTGCTGGGATTACAGGCGTGAGCCACCGCGCCCAGCTTTTGTATTTTTATAGAGACAGGGTTTCACCATGTTGGCCAGGTTGGTCTCAAACTCCTGACCTCAGGTGATCTGCCCACCTCAGCCTCCCAAAGTACTGGGATAACAGGCGTGAGCCACTGTGCCTGGCCCAGGTCCTCTTTTCAAGAGTGTAAAACGATCCTGAGATAAAAAATTTGAGAATCACTGATTTACACTATGAGCATTAACTATATCTTCGAGAACATCAGTTTAAATGCTGTCTAGGCTGGGCAGGGCGGCTCATTCTTGTAATCCCACTGCTTTGGGAGGCTGAGACAGGAGCGTTGCTTGAGCCCAGGAGTTCAAGACCAGCCTGGGCAAAGTAACCATAAAAGAAAGTTCAGCCTGGGCAACAGAGCAAGACCCTGGCTCTATAAAAAGTGGTACATCTTTTTTTTTTTTAAAGAAAGAAATCAAAAATTAATTAAATACATAAGTAAATAAAGGCTAACACCCACGATTTACTTGATGACTCCTTATTGTTGGATATTGAGGTTACTTCTGATGTTCTGCTGTTGGAGCAGCATTGCAATGAATGCTTTTGTGGCTAAGTCTTTCTGTATAGCCACATGTGTTTCCTGAACCAGAGGGAACATTTGTCCTGGAAGCTTTTTTTTTTCTTTTTTTTTTTGAGACAGAGTCTCACTCTTATTGCCCAAGCTGGAGTGCAATGGTGTAATCTCAGCTCATCCCAATCTCTGCCTCCTGGGCTCAAGTGATTCTCCTGCCTCAGCCTCCCGAGTAGCTGGGATTACAAGCACCTGCTACCACGCCCGGTTAATTTTTTGTATTTTTAGTAGAGACAGGGTTTCACTATGTTGGTCAGGCTAGTCTCAAACTCCTAACCTCAGGTGAACCACCCACCTCTGCCTCCCAAAGTGCTGGGATTACAGGCGTGAGCCACCGAGCCTGGCCCTGGAAGCTGGTTTTTTTTTTTTTTTTTTCAATCATTCCCTTTGGTCTGAATTAATAATACCAACCAGAAGCAACTTGTGAGAGAGAGGTGGGGGTCCCAGCTCCTATGGCTAGGTGGAGACTTCAACCCCCAGGCAAGGACGACCCCTTCCCAGACAGCCCCACTGGTACAAGAGGGGAGCCTGGGGGCCTGGGGACAGCCAGCTCTGAGGAGGGTGGAGGTGGGCTGAGAGGGCAGGGTTGCCTGTCCACCCCAGCTGAGACAGGCAGGCAGGTGCTCACACACTCGGCAGGTAGAAGCGGTCTTTGGCGCGGTGCTGCAGTGAAGCCAGCTTGGACACCTGCTGCAGCAGCTGCTCGCTGGGCCGGTTGGCTGGCATGCTGCTGAAGAGGCCCTTCAGGTAGTCAGGCAGAACCTGCAGGGAGCACCTGGGTGAGGGGCTGCCAGGCAGGCATGTGTTTAGGCACTCAGCTGCAGGGGGCCTGGGGACATGCAAGTTTAATTACTGCAGCCCCATCCTCTTCTGGGGTAGGATGGCCTATTACTTTCCTGGGTTTTGGAGAATGATGGCAGAAACAGATAATGGTGATATGGGAGGACTGTGGCCTTGATGCCTATGAGGGTGTCCCCACAGCAACCTTGCCAGGATGTGGGCTGGCTGGTGAGATCAGAGAATCAACACTGCAGTGTGCACGCGTATTTATCAGGCCTGCTGTTTCTCAAAACTGAGTGTGCCTGAGTCACAGGAGGGCTTGCCAAAACAGACGTCCAGGCTGTGCCCCAGAGGCTCTGAGCCAGGAGGTCTGAGGTGGGACTTGAGGATTTGCATCCCGTTTTTGCCAGTTCACAGGCTTCGCATTGAGTAGCGTGGTGCTGGACTGCATAGGGCTATGCTTCAACAGTGACACCATGTGGCCGCAAAAGCTACGTGACCATATTGCGTACAATTCCTGAAGTTTTGGCACCAGTTCCACAAAAATACACACTTTCTGTCCAAGCACTTCCAAACATACTGGCACAGTAGGGGAGAACGAACCCAGACTTTGTAAACTCCATGATCCTGACTTAGAGGACTTCCAAGTCTCAGAGTAGAATAACACACAGACAAAAGTGACAATATCAGCAAAGCCTGGCTTAGCACATAAAGCAAAGGACAGGCCCATGTTCAGAAGAATAAGAAATCAGAAGGAAAGCGGACCTCAAAGAGGGCCTAATGGAAGAGGTGTTGTTTGGGGGCAGCTTGCTGGAGTGGAATTAGATAAGCTGGGAAGTCCAGATGGAGGGATGGCATGCACAAAGGCCCTCAAAGGTAGTGAGGACTGTTTTGACTTCTTCCAAGAGACCACATAGGGGAGCAGAGGCCTCAGGGTTAGAGAGGTCCACAGGGCCTGCATCATGAACACTTCAAATACCAGGGGTGTGGAGTCTGACTCACAGGCCCGGGGGAGACTAGAAGGTCCCAGAGTCCAGAGAAGCCCATGTGTGCTGACCTGGTTGTAGTGCATGGTCACATATAGCTCATTCTCGAACTTGAGTGGCTGATCCCAGAGCACACGTCGGAACCAGAGCATGTAGCCGCCATCCACTTGCTCCATCTCGGAGGCCACATCCAGGATGTAAGCACAGCGACTGAGTGGGCACACATGCTGGCCTGCAGAGAGCAGGGAGGCAGGACTGGGTGGGGGCATGTGTGCACACATGTGTGCACCTGTACAGAGCATGTGTGCAGACCCCAACCTGCTACCCAGGTGAGGCATCACCTCAGGCAAATTATCTACCTGCTCTGGGACACAGCTTCCTTGTTAAAGGAGAACATGTTTGTTGAATGGGGTGCCCTATGTTTTATTGAAATGTTGATGACCACAGACGGGAACAACTCCAATTCAAAGCTATAAGTAATGCTCCATTTCTCCTGGGGAAAGATGAGCTGCTGAAGAGTGCCCCAAGGGTGGCCTGCCTGGATGGGAAGGTGCCCTGCATTATGGCCAGAGAAGGCCCAGTCCCTTTCCAGAGGAGGCTTGGGACAAACACAAACACAAGAGGCTTCAGACCATGAGACCCAGTGGGTACCTTTCTGCAGCTCTCCTTTAGGAGAGACCCCTTGCCAGGCACCTGGCATAGGTGGGGGTGGGGAGGATTGGGACCTGAGCCTGTGAGAGGCTCAAGTTTTTCTCTCTTTCACTGACATTTCTGCCACCCATCTCACACCTGCAATAAAATCTTACTAAAGAAAGGGAGTTTGGTATGATTACATGATTACCACTCTGTGACTGTGGGTAAGTCACAACTTCTGTGGCAGGCTGAATAATCACCCCTCCAAAGGTGTCCAGGTCCTAACCCCTAGAATTTGTGAATATGTCACTTTCTTGGCAAAAAGCACTCTGCAGATGTGATTAAGTTAAGGATCTGGAGATGAAGATGATCCTGGATTATGCAAGCAGGCCCAACGTCAGCACAGGGGTCCTCATAAGAGGAAAGCAGAAGGGTCAGAGTCAGAGGAGATGTGAGACCAGAAGCAGAGGCTGGCAGGGAGAGAGATTTAAGGATTCTACGCTGCTGGCTTTGGAGATGGAGGAAGGGGCCATGAGCCAAGGAATGTGGGTGGCTTCTAGAAGCTGGAAAAGGAAAGGAAAGATTCTTCCCTAGAGCCTCCAGAAGGAACCTGGCCCTGATGTTATTTTCATTTTAGAACTTCTGACTTTCAGAATTATAAGGTAATATATTTGTGTTTTTTAAGCCACTAAATTTGTGATAATCTGTTATAGCAGCAATAGGAAACTAATACAGCCTCCCTGGGCCTCAGTTTCCCCATCTGTAAATGGGAAGGCTGACAGCCTCCACTTCATAAGGTTGTTGTGGGGATTAAAAGAGTTTACAGAATGAAATGCTTTTTTCTTTTTTGAGGCAGAATCCCACTCCATCACCCAGGCTGGAATGCAGTGGCATGATGATGGCTCACTGCAACCTCTGCCTCCCAGGTTCAAGTGATTATTGTGCCTCAGTCTCCCGAGTAGCTGGAATTACAGGTGTGCACTGCCATGCTTGGCTCATTTTTAGTAGAGATGGGTTTCGCCATGTTGGCCAGGCTGCTTTTGAACTCCTGGCCTCAAGTGATCCACCTGCCTCAGCCTCCCAAAGTGCTGGGATTACAGGCATGAGCCGCCATACCTGGCCTGAAATGCTTTGAATTATGCCCGGGGCACAGCATCTGTTCAATAAATGTCAGTTATTAGGACTTTTCTGTTACCTGCCATTCTCCCCTAATGTCCTAGCTGGACTTGGGTGGGCAGGCAGGGCTGACAGCACACGGCTGAGGGCTGAGGCAGTCGTAGGGAGGGCTGGCTGGGGATTGCTGGAGCTGACCAGCTGGTGACAGGAGGCAAGACCATGATCTAGACCCTAGGGCAAGCAGCAGATGGAAGGGGCTTTGGGATACATGACGGTCACCTATGGTCCCAGGAGCCCTTGAGAGAGGCTCAGTGACACCTCAGGAGAGGCTCCTCTGGCCATTATAAGGCATGAGAGGCAGGAAAGAAGGCTTGCAACTTTAGGTTCCAGGAGTGTGGGGCTACTAATGGAAACCTTCCCAGGATGTAATCTCCTTAAGGGCACAGCCTATGTCCTCCCATTGAGCATGCCCTGAGGGGCAAAGGGAGAGATGAGAGAGGGCCCTCACCACAAGGTGAGGCAAAATAGGCAAAGCAGAGAGGGACAGATGAAGGGCTCGGGATGCTTGGTACACAAATAGATCTTTCCCCACAGGGGTCAAGGGGCTTCCTGGAAGAAGTGGCATCTGACTTGGGCCCTAAAGTCTGGGTGGAGGCCCCACATGGCCCAAGGCTGGGGGATGAGAATGAGCCCAGCATGCTCAGTCTTTCTGGCACTCACCACGGTTGGTGACAACGAAGATAACATATTCATTAAAGGCCTCGGGGCGTGTCAGAGCCATCTCAGCACAGATCTCTTCTATCACATCCAGGGCCACCTGGGGGTGGGGGCGGAAGGGATGAGGCCATGTCAGTTAGGATTCACCTCTGTCCTTCTGGCCCCACTCAGGCCCCCAGAGGCCATGTGTGGAGTTCCTCAGCCCTCTTCACAGAGGTGCACAATCCTCTGAGGTCTCTGAAAATCAGCCTCAGGCAGGGAAGGAACACAGCTTGTGGTCTGAGACTTAGGTTCAAAATCTGCTTCCATCCCTTTTCTGCAGGATGACCTCAGCCAGAGGCCTAACCTCTCCAAGGTGCAGTTTGCTCTTCTGAGAAATAAGTCCTGCCTTGTGGGACTGTTTGAGAGCCTGGGAGGGCTCAGCATCCTTGGGGGCTTACTCCATCCCCATCCTGAAGCCTGGGCTGTTCCTGATCCTGCCCCTCCAGTACCTGACTGCGGGAGACATTCCTTCACTTACAGTGCATGTTTTGATTTTGAGATGGCGTTCAAGGCCTCCAGGAAGAAGAAAGAGTTGTCTCTTGGAACTGCGGCCTGCCTGGGGATGGGTAGGTGTGAGAGGGGTGACAGGTTGAGTCCTGGGATCTGAGTGGCCCTTGTCCCAGGAGTTCCCAAGCCAAAGGGTCCTGGGCTTGCATGTGTAGGAACACTTGAGCACCTGGGCCTTGCAGGGCCTGTCTACAAGCCCCAGAGTGCAATGCATCCGACACAGAGGTCTCTGGGCAGGGCTGTGTCTCCCATTCATTCATTTATTTTTGTTTTTTGACATGGAGTCTTGATCTGTCACCGAGGCTGGAATGCAGTGGTGTGATCTTGGCTCACGGCAACCTCTGCCTCCTGGGTTCAAGCAATTCTCCTGTCTTAGCCTCCCGAGTAGCTGGGATTACAGGTGCTTGCCACCATGCCTGACTAATTTTTGTATTTTTAGCAGAGACAGGGTTTTGCCATGTTGGCCAGGCTGCTCTTGCACTCCTGACCTCAGGTGATCTGCCTGCTTCAGCCTCCCAGAGTGCTGGAATTACAGGTGTGAGCCACTGTGCCTAGCATCCCATTCAATTTGAACCTACTTCTACCCCGTGCTTACCAACATAGCCCGAAGCTCTATGCTGCTGGGGAGCTCCAGACGACCCCCGAAGCGCAGGGTTTTCTGCAGGTTCTGCTCACAGGCCTTGGCAATCCCTGCGGATGCAGGGAGTCCAGGCCTTGCTGAAGGTGGGCAGTAGGAGAAAGGGGCTCCTCTTGCCAGCAACCAGGAGCCTACTGTATTCTCTCCACAAGCTATGGGGCAGACATTTACTCCCCATTTGACAGTTGAGCAAACAGTTCAGACAGGGACAGGGACTTGCCCAAGGTCAAGAGCTAGAGGTTAAGAGCTAGATTTGAACTCACATCCCACATGGTCTAGCCCACAGTCCCCTTGGCAACCTATAAGCCTGTAAACTGCTGTCATCCTGAGTTGCTGACTGGGAAGCTCATAGCCAATAGGCTCTGTGGCTAGGGTGATGTAGCTCTGCCCCCGCCAGCTGGGATACCCTGCCAACTGCTCTCCCTCACCCAAGCCTCCCAGTGCAGGAGATCCCAGCATCAGTGCTCCATTTCTCTGAGTCAAGAGTTCTAGGGCACATTCTGCTGCCTTCATGCATCTGGGAGCCCTTCCATGGCGAGCTGGGTCTATTCATGTGTGGGTCTAGGCATATTTATTAAGTGAATCAGAGAGAAGGATTCAGAGGCAAGAAGGGTAAGGTCTCCTATCTCCTCCACGGCTGCCATGGTGACTACAGGGGCCCCAGCCTTCTTCTTTGGGATCCCCAGGGATTGCTATGGAAACAACGCTGAAGAGTGGCCCCCACTTTCTCCATATTCTTTTTTTATTTGAAATGGAGTCTCGCACTGTCACCCAGGCTGGAGTGCAGTGGTGCAATCTTGGCAACTTCTGCCTCCCAGGTTCAAGCAATTCTTCTGCCTCAACCTCCTGAGAAGCTGGGATTATAGGCACCCACCACCATGCCTGGCTAATTTTTTTTGTATTTTTAGTAGCAATGGGGTTTCACTATGTTGGTCCGGCTGGTCTCAAACTCCCGACCTCGTGATCCGCCTGCCTTGGCTTCCCAAAGTGCTGGGATTACAGGGGTGAGCCACTGCCCCGGGCTCCTTTCTCCATATTCTAAGAAGGATGGTATCAGCTTGGGCCCACCCCTGCCCAGATCCCTCAAGACCCTTGCCAAGTCCCAACAGTCAGCAAAGCAGAGCCGCACCCAAGTACTCTGGATTCTCCCACATTCCACACATTCCCACCCTGGTCTTTGCTCTTGTCATTCACTCCACCTGGAAATCCCTCCTACCCAGGGCAATACTTCTTCTAAGGAGTCTTTCCTGACCACCCCCTCCATTAGATCAGACAAACCACCACATCAGCCCCGTGAAACCTTTGCAAATGTTTGGGGAGTAAATTAGTATTAGTTAACATTGCTTAGCACCTGTAAAGAGTGAGGCCTTCTGGGTTTCCCCTTCCACCAGCTGCCCACCTGGTACCCATGGGAGAAGCATACAGTCCTGGGTCCTCACTCATTGACCTCTAACCTTGAAAGGGCAGGCCAGGGGTCCGGCTCACATCTTGGAGGAAGCGAGTGAGGTGTGGGTGGAGGACCTCGGAGCAGCTGTGGTAGGCAGTCACGATGTACAGTAGCCTCCAGCCTCGCTGGCAGCTGTCCCTGCAAGGACACATGGGAACCATGTCACAGGCAGCCACAGCACTAGAGTGTGCCAAGAGCCTCCTGGGATAGCCCTCCTGGGATTGAGCTGAGGAAGATTCCAACTCTCTGGCAGCTCCTGTCTCCTGAAGATGCTCCTTCCTGCCCAGTGAAGAGGCCTTGAAGCCAGGCAGAAGGCATATGCTACTTGGGAAGTCAAGATGGGGGAAAGGGAAGGAAGAGGATGGGGCCCCAGACATCTTTCCCAGGTAGGGGACGTACTGTGACTCTTTTCCTTCCTATTCTATTCTTCTCTTTTCTGCCTCACAACAGGTGGGGGATCTCTCTGGGAAGGCTTCTGGGAAAAGGTGAACCTGCTGAGATTGTGTAGAGGTCAGGACAGGTAAGGCCCAGGGCTGGGAGGAGCAGGAGGACAAGCTGAGTGGTTCTAAAATTTCTGAGGAGATGGAGAACAAGTGAGGAGGTAGTGCAGGTGGAGACAGGAGTGGGCCTGATGGTAACAAGAGCACACACACATTGGGCACCTACTGTGTGCTGACCCTGCATGAGTGGAACACAGTAATTCACCTTCACATGGTCCTGGGTGTGAGGGTTTAGGGATATCTGGTGTCTGGGAACAACACTTGGGCTTCCTTTGGGAAACCACCCACCCGTCTCTGGATCCCTATGGTTTGGAGATGGGCAAGGAAGTCAGGTTTGGTTAATGAGAACACTGTAACCCCTGGCCACAGCGATTGGCCTGGGGATAGGTATATGACCCAAGACTGGCCAATAAGAGTTCAGCCTCCTTCTGGCTTTGGTGATTGGTTTTAGGACATACATGTGACCTAGATCTAACCAATCACTACTCTGTATCCTCCAGCCTTTATGATCCGTACAGGGTTGAGCTTGTGACCAACTCAGGCCTGTAAGGCTGGATTTGAGAATTTCTGCTACAAATATTGGATCAGTTTTGCTTTGTCTGGGATTGCTGAGCTGTTGCCCCAGATCTGCCACCTTGCTACTCTCTGGGAGAGGCTGTTTGGAAATGATCAAACACAGAAGAAAGCAGAGCCAGCAGATGGAGAAAGCCTGCTTTCTAATGACCTGGATTCAGCTATGCCTGAAGCCACATACTCATTGACTTTTCATTTCTCTGAATCAATAAGTTCCCTCTTGCTTAAACCAGTTTGAGTTGGGTTTCTATCACTTGCAACTAAGAATCTGGACTTAGACATTATCACTGCCATTTTACAGATAAAGGCACTAAAGTTCAGACAGCTGAAATTGTGTGTTCCAGACCAAGTAATTCCAAAAATGTACTCTACTGAGTGAGGAAGAGGGTGAGGGGAAGAGAATCCAGGAGGAGTCAACCCTGGGGAGGTGGGAGGCTGAACTGGCCCCTCCTGAAGCATGAACACAGTGGGGGGATGGTAGGGTAAAGCCCAGTTCACTCACTGCTTGGAGCTGGTATTGTCGGTGATCTGCTTCACAACTTGGCAGTAACACTCATCCCGCATGACCTCATGGTCCCCACACAGCTGAAGGAGGCCAGAGAGGTCACACATCAAAGACATATTAAGGGCTATGTCACATACCAGGTACATAAGAACAGGGTGGGCACCTGGAGACAGGCCTGGTGTCCCTTTTCTAGCCCTCTCCCTACCAGCATGATGCATTCCTCTTTGGACCATGGGAAAGGCTTCCCACCCTAATGTCCTGTGACTCATTGACAGATGGGAAACTGAGCCACAGAGCAAGAAAGGAGGCATCTGGCAAAGTTGGCTGAACTGACCTTTAGGAGGTTACAAAGCACGTCCAGGTCACTCTGGCCCTTCAGTGGGGCATCCCCCATGAACCTCATCACAGCTGAAGGAAAGACCCATCCCATTCAGACCCACCAAACGTCCAGTTGCTCACCCACCCCAGGAAGCCCCAGGGCTGAGCCCCTCCCTGGGAGCCTTGGCCACAGCAGCTGGGGGCTTCTATTCTCTTAAACATGTCCCATGTTTGAACTGGGGGGAGGGAAAGAATCTGAAGACCAGGGAGGAGTGGTGACCAGTAGACATCACACAGTGCTGGATCCCATCTGGCCCAGAGCCCTGGCTACAATCCCACCCCCACACCTAGGAACATGTCGGTGGCCATCTTGTTGAGGCTGCTGTCGCTGAGTTCGATGAGGGATTCCTGGAGAGGGGTCTGTGGAGAAAGAAGGCTGTGCCATGATGGAGGAAGGACATGTCAGAACAGAGAGGAGACACATCGTGTTTCAAGGCCATATGATAACAGGAGGGTCCATGTCACAAAAGGGGACCCAGGCCCAACACTGGGGACACATGCTATCCTTGGGAGGGAATCAGGGTGCTGAGAGCTAGAGGGTCTCACTGAGAACAAGTTTGTTCACCCCAGGGTCCTGGGAGGGGGCCCTTGTATCATCGTTTTACAGATGGGGAAACCGAGGTCCGAGACTGGACACCTTGGTGAAGCAAAGCATGTCCTCCAAGGTTCTGGACTCCCGACCCTCCTTGGATTTCAGCCTGAGGCCATCCCTGTGGTGGAAGGTGGGTGCTACTAACCTGTCTTGCCCAAGCCTTGGCTACATGCTTTTCCACAAGGGAATGTTCTTGACCCACCATTCTGATCAGTCTGCCAGACAGGGAGACCCCCCCCAGATGTAGGCACTGAAGTGGGCCTCACACCTGGGTAGTCTCTCATCTCTCCCACCAGAAGTGGGGCCTCCCAGACCCATAGCCTGCAGTTTGGACAGTTGCAAGAAGCCCAGAACCCCCCACAGTGTGGGAAAGAGGGATGGGGCCACCACTCACTGGGGTCTCCTCTGAGGGTCTCGGAAATACTTCTGGGCAAACTCGAGCATTGTGTAGGGTAGGAGAGCCAGGGCTTCCTCCCCATGGTCAGCAGAGCGGGCCCTGACTGGGGGACCCTGCAGAAGAGGCGGAGCTAGGAAGGCCCTGCCCGGCCACACCACGCGTAGCCCTTCGGTCAAAACACAACGCAACCCCTCGCGGACTGGGCCCAGATTCTCAAGCAGCCCGACCACCCATCCATCTGGACTCGCCCACGCATCTATTTGAAGCCTCCCGCATCCCGTTGGCCTCGCCCCTTCAGCCGTCTTTTACTTACCCTACTCCCCGCCCCACTTGGCCACGCCCTTCCCCAGCTGCCTTGTCACAGCTGACCCCACCTCTCGCTAGCTCCACAAGCCCAACCCCGCCCACTCACCTGGCCTCATCCCATCCCAGATTTGACCTACTGGCGGGCCCAGGCTGGTCTGACCCCACTGCCCTGATTACAACCCGCTGATCCTCACCCTTCCCTACCCCATTTAACCACACCTCCAGCCATCTCTGGACCCATCTCCTGGGTCTCACCTGCAGCTCACTCTATACCTGGTTCACCCTAGTCCAAGACCGGCCACGCCCCAAGAGCCTGGCCTCGCCCTTGGCCGACCTTATTCCCACTCGCCTCACCCCTTCCGCTTAGTCTACCCCACCTCACCCCACCCACATTGGTCTCACCTTTCTCCTGCGGCCCACCTCCTGTGCAGCGGCTGCAGAGGCCACAGCAGCGGCCACGGCGGCTGCTCGGCCGCTGCCCGGCTCTGCTGGCAGCTGCAGGAAGTCGGGGGCAGCAGCGGGCTGCACCAGCTCCGAAGGGAAGCGGCCCACACGCCCATGGATAGTCCCAAACCTCCAGCCTAGGGGCGGGTAAAAGGTCTAAGGCAAACTGGAGGGTCTTGTCTTGCTACTAAAGGAGTTTCGCTCTTGTCACCCAGGCTGGAGTGCAATGGCGAGATCTCGGCTCACCACAACCTCTGCCTCCTGGGTTCAGGCAATTCTCCTGCCTCAGCCTCCTGAGTAGCCGGGATTACAGGCACGCGCCACCATGCCCAGCTAATTTTCTGTATTTTTAGTAGAGATGGGGTTTCACCATGTTGACCAGGATGGTCTCAATCTCTTGACCTCATGTGATCCACCCGCCTCGGCCTCCCAAAGTGCTGGGATTACAGGCGTGAGCCACCGCACCCGGCCTTGGGTACCTTTTCAACCCCTCTCTAGAACTCTGTGAGGCAGGCCAGGCCATCGAACCTATTTTACAGATGAAGAAACAGGCTCAGGGAAGGAAAGGGATTTTCTCAGGGCCACAGGACCATAATAGGGAAGTGAAGCAAAAAAGCAAAGCAGGGTTTGTGGACTCTCTGGTCATGTGGAGACACAAAGGTAGACTTGGGCCACAAACACAGAAACGCCCATGGAGACCCCTCAGCCACATATACAGGCAGAGCAGAGGGCTCTGTCTGACTACCAACAGACACTGACAGGCCATGTCTGGATCTTGGAGACCTGGCCAGCCCAGACCACTTTTGGGCACCAAGAAACCCTCAATGTATATCTCAGCATGAGTGTGTGAAACTAGGATGCACCCTATATGAGATTTCCAGGTTCTGGGGCACCCACCAAAGTCGGGGCCTGTACGCCGCAGCTCCTCCAGGTACACCACCTTCTTGCGGACCACGCAGCCAGCACTGTAGCCTGTGGGCCAGGCTTGGGTCAGCATCTCCCAGGTAGGCCCCCTTGGCCAGCCTCCCCCTCCCACACCCAGCCCACCCCAGTGGCACTGACCCACTCGAGGAGGCTCTAGAGGCTGCAGGTGGATGATGTCACCCTTGTGGAAAGCCAGCAGGGCTGGGTCTTCAGGCAGGAAGTTCCTCACAGCGACCACATAGTCAGAGTCCTGGGTCAGCCAGGGGCAGGGTCAGGGCAATAGCCCCATCACCCCACTCCCAGAGGCCTAGGGCAACCCCTGCTCCTCACATCCTTCCTTACTCATTAGGGAGCCCTCATTAGGTGAAAAGGGGTAAGGGCATTCTCGGTGGAAGAAAGGGCTGGAGGCTGAGTCTGAGGGACACACATGGACTTTAGGGCACACTCATAGGCCTTCCCCACTCGATACCTCACCGACCTTCCTGCTAAAGCCTTCCTCAGGCCTGGGGCACAGAGACAACCTGCCCTAGGTCTGGGGGCTGCCAGACAGGAGTGGGCAGAGGGGATGGAAAGAGACTGAGATGCAGTGGGCAGGCCATGCAGCCAAGGCAGGAGGGTGAGGAGTACAGTTGCTGCAGAGCTCAGAGGAGGTACTGTGCCTTCAGGAGGGGGCACTGGCCAGCAGGGGGCATTGGCAAAGGTTTTTTTGAAGGAGCAGGCAAAAGGAGGAAAGGGTATTCCAAGTGGAAGGCACAGCCAGTGCAAAGGCCTGAAGGTAAACAGAAGTCTATGGATACAGTCACACTTCCCAGGCAGGTGGGGCTAGTATATATGTGGGGTGGGAGAGCCTTGTTGCTGGGCCCTCAGCCTGGGTTGGGGGAAGATCTGTGGGAAGGTCCTGACCTTCTTCAGCTCCAAAATGAAGTCATCCACCAGGGTCTTGACCTGGTGAGCTCGGGCTGAGAAGAGGATGACCTTCTCACTGGCCAAGTTGAACTCCAGCATATTCTGGGAGGGCATTGTCACAAACAGGATATCTGCAAAGCTGGAGGATGGGCTGGTGACATGAGGGCAGGACTCCACTGCCAGAAAGATTCCCTTCTTCTACCTATTGTGCTGCTTCTGCTCCTGTCCTTCCCCATTTGAAGTCCAGTCCCACCTTGGCCCCATTGTGCCAGCTCCCACAGGACCCTAGGAACTTCCCGCTTCCCCTCTCTGACCCAGGCTGTGGCTTCAGCTCAGTTCCTACCACCCTTTGGGACAGCACTCTGACCCCTCTCCACCCTTTGTCCCTTGGTCCAAGCTCTAAATCTAGATTTGTGCCTACCCAAATCTCTCTTTCACCCACTGACCAAGTTCTCTCCACATCTTTCAAAGCAAGGAGTCTTTATCCAACCCGTGAGCAAGTTTCTATTCCCATCCTCAGGTTACAAAGGACAAAAGGGACTTCTAGCAGGGGAGGGAGTCTGAGGACTCAGTAAGGTGTCATGGCTGGCAGTGGTTCCCTCTCCAGCTGCATCAGGGCTTGTTTGTTTCCAGCACAGTTGCCCCTCTGCACAGTGCTGCTGTTGTGGGGGCTGGAAGGAGGGCAGGGGAGTGGGTGCATAGCTCAACCCCTTCCCGGTTGTGTGACCTGAGACAAACAACTTCTCTCTCTGAGCCTCAATTTTCCCAGCTCTAAAATGGGTTTGCTTCAATGGCTTGGCACAGAGCCTGGTGCATCATGGGTACTTGGTAAGTGGCTGTGGAGAGGAAGGAAATACTGCTACCAGTCTGTACCCCAGTCTCCAACCAGCTCCACTTCCCCCCTCTGCCAGTCACCTGTATGCACGCAGGACCCGCAGCTGCCCGCTGGCCTCCTGGCCACCTTTGACCATCCTCAGGAGTTTGATGCCCATGTGGGACACAGCTAGGAGCTGCACTCCAGTGCCTACGCTGCCCTGGGGCAGGAATGAAGGGCATGTGAGGGTCCTATTGCCTCATCCCTGAATCCTCTGAGCAGGTAGGGGGCAGGTGAGTGGCTCGCACCGTGGCAGGGAAGAGGCGGGAGAAGTAGACCTCCCAGGTGTCTCGCGCAGTGCTGACCACAGCCCGCTTCACGCTCTCCGTTACCAGAGGCCTCTGTGTGTCCAGCTGGTTCTGGGCTATGGGAGGCCAGGTCTGGTCAGGACCCTCTCCCCACTCCTCTGCCAGCCCCCATCTCAGGGATGTCAGGGAGGGAGGTGGCTGATACCTAGCAAGAAGGCATCTAACCAGTGTCTATACTGGGAAGTGGAAACTCAGAAATGGACGAGATGGCAAGGACACAGTGTGTCAGGCATTGCCAACCCCAAACATGCAGCCAGGCCACATGAGAGGCCAGAAGCAGAGCAAGGAGGCGCATGTCTGGGAGATGGTGGAGCTGGACTTGTCAGCCTCAGTCTCCCTCTGGAACAGGGCTGGTTGTGCCTCTGGCAGGTTGCTCCATCAATACCCTTCCCCTCCCACAAGATACCAAACAGGGCCTTCATCTTGAGCCTCTCATCCTCAGAGATGCGCAGGCAGGCTTCGGACAGTGTATCGTGTAGGATCTGTGGGAACAGGTTGTGATGCAGGCGGTGCATGGGACTCACCCGGCTGGAATCCAGGCTGGACTCTACTAGGGTGAGTGACAATGTGGGGGGGGGGTGTCCCATTTTGCAGCAGTGGGGTCATCTATAAGCTGGGTCATCTGTGTAAATCAGATTCTCCTTCAGGGACCCTCTCCTTTCTCCTCACCCCCACAATCCAGGCCACCCTTCCTAGGCCTCAGTTTCCTAATCTATACAGGGGTTTACAGTTGACTTCTGGGCCATGTCTAGCTCAGACAAACTATGGCTCTGATTAGGTTGAACTGTGGGCTCACTGACCCTGCCCATGGGAGGGGGGAGATTCAATAAAACAGCTGCCCGTCCCCACCCCAGTCAAGGACCCCAAATCCTAGCATGCACAGGCTTTGCTGCTAGCCTATCTTTGCATTCACACTGCCATGCTGAGTTCACTGAGGCAGAAAGGAGAGAGAGGACCTCACCTGCCGGAACAGGAGGTCAAGCTGCACAGGATGGCTGTAGCTGTCCTTGGGGTAAAATACCTGTAGGGGCGGGGCTTCGGTGGGTACCTTCCGATTGCCCCCTCACCTTGCTTCACACCCGTCCCTGCCTCCTAGGTGCAGATCTGCCCCAGCTCTGACTCCATTCCTGGCTTCAGCCTGGCCCTTTTCAGTCCTCCTGGACCCTCCTCTGCCCGCCTTCAGCCCCTCCCCTGGCTCTGGCTATGCTCCGCACCTCTTTGCGCAGGAAGATCCTCCAGGGGGCGTCCTGATAGCCATAGAAGCTGGGGTTGATAAGGCGGTGCAGCTGCGTCTGCATTGGTTCCTCAGGGGGCTCCAGCGACCGCGAGGGCAGAGCTGGAGAGCACGGGGGTCAGGGAGGCAGGAGAAGGCACCTCTTAGGATGAAGTGGGAGAGGCAGGGCAGGTGGAGGAGGACACAGCCCCTTCATTCAACACATAAAAACACCTATTGTATATAGGCCTGGGCTAAAGGCCGAGATGGCCCCACAAACAAGGTAGACAAGGCTCCTGCCCTGGAATTTAGTGCCCATGGCAGGTGTGGGTGGCATGGATCATTCAGAAACAAAGCTCTCACTGTCCAAGTCTGGGGTGGAGGGAAAGCAGGGCGGTTTAGGATGGATCCTGGAGAGCTGGTCTATGAGGTCCTTCACTCCTAGCAGTCTAGGCAGACCTTGCTGAGGTGACAAAGGTGATTTGAGCTGTGACATGAATGGTGAGAAGGAGACAGGCATGCAACGGTTTTGGGGAAGAGCATTCTAGGCAGAGGGAACAGGAAGAGCAAGGGCTCCAAGACAGGAGAGGGCTTGGAGTGTTCGGGGAACAGGGAGGAACAGAATGTGCCAAGGGGAAGAAAGTGGGAGATGAGATTGGGGAGGTGGGCACATCATGCAGTGTCTCATAGGCCACAGTGAGGAGTTTGGAGCTTATTGTAGGAGCCATCAGAGGGTTTTTGTCAGGGACAGGATGTGAGCTGCTTATATAGCTGTTAAGATCACTGTGGCTGCTGAGAGACAGAAGGTGTAGAGGCTAGGGCTCCAACTGTGATGCCAGGGGGCCTTGGGCAAGCCACTTAACCTGTCTGTGCCTCCGTTTCCCCATCTTCAACATGTAGGAATAATTGTGCTACCTTGAAGGGTTCTGGTAGGATTATATGAGGCCAGGATGGGAGTGGCCAGAGATCTGTGCTACTTAAGTGCTAATATTATAATTATACCAATATGCTCACAACTTGTACACAGGGGCTGAGGAACACAGACACACTCCACCGACACACAGACTGGGACTCACCTGTGCCCACAGACTTCCTCATATACTTGGATACCCTCCCCACCTTCTGGCCCTCTCACCTGAAGTGGGTGTCATGAATGGCCTTGGTGCACTGGTCACTGGCTTTACCAGGGCCACAGCTTCTCTGGACACCTGTCCCACCCCAAAGAGACTGCTCAGGGGGAAACAGGCAGGCCCTGTGGAGGGGCAGTGGCAGGGCCACAGCTTATAGGGGTGGCTGGTTTCTGAGGATCCCTGAGGCCCCTCTTTGACTTATGTTCCACCTGGGCCCAGCCCCACCCTGCCCCCTCACCTGGGTGCCAGGTGCAGCTGTCAGGTGAGTCATCTGCCCCTTTAGGATCATCAGGGCCTCCTCGTGGGGGTCTGGCCGCTTCATGAACACCTTCCCGCCACCCTTCCTGTGGGCATTGGAGAACCATGGTGGGGTGACACTGAGTCTCCCTTTCCCGTCACATATTTTGACAGCAGGGAACTTCCTCCTCCTCCACCACCACTCCCATCATTATAAACAAGAATCAAGAGAAAAGCAGAGACTGGCCTGAAGTCCTACAGCACAACCTAGACAACAGCAGGGGCTCATCTGGACTCATTGACATAAACTCCCTCCCTAACAGGACCTGAGCAGGGTGCTTCAACCCCTGCACCAGTAAGCTGGTGCACCATGATGGACACTCAGGCACAGTGAGGGGCTGGAGGGCTGGAGGCAGGGGCAGTGCTGACCTGAGGACCTCGGGCTGGCCTCCCCGGAATGGCTGCTGGTACTGCCTGACAATGTGCTTGATCTGCTGTGTGGGCTGTGGGAAGTGCTCAGAGTTGAGCGTTGAGTACCGGACCAGCTCTGGGGAGGGTAAAGCTGTGGACAAGCAGGGTGGTAGGAACAGGGTGAGGTCATAAGAGACACAACCACATCCCCAGGCCTGTCCTGGGAAGCCTCAGAGGCTGGGATAGGGCACTCACTGGTTTCTGGAGAAGCCTGATCATGAGCTAGAACAGGAGCAGCCACAGGCTTGGTGGGGGGCCTTGGAGCCTTGGCCAGAGGGGCAGGGGCCAAGGGCTTTGGAGTGGCACGCAGGAGCACAGGTTTGGCTGGGGGACCAGTACCTACAGACTTCGGCTGTGCGTCTGGTGCTAGGGGTTTCTGTGGAGAACAGGACATGAGGTGGGCTGCCTGGGATATACCAGGCTACTCTCTGGGACCCCAGATCTCTGTCAAAGATGGGCTGTGGAGCCCTTGGGCTCAGAGAGGCACAATAATGCCCTGGAGCAGCACAGTACCCATCTTTACAGCTTATGTCTGCTAGCAACCCCTGTACCCTGGGGGGCCCAGGCTCACCTCTGTGGGCAAGGATCTTGGGGCAGCACTCGGGGGCTGCTGCTGGAGTGCCATGGCCTGCAGGGTCATCTCCCGGGCCTGGGGAGAGGTGGCAGTGGTGACCAGGCAGGTCCATTCTCCACCCCTCAGCAGTCCCTCCCTCACTTACCAGCAGGACGGCCTGTTTGTGGATGAAGGCTTGCTGCAAAGCCAATGTGGAGGCGTCCAGGCCTGGGACTGAGGGGAGAGTGCAGAGGACAGAGGTGGCACCGGAGATGCCCTCCTCCCTGTCCTCTCACCCTCCCCCCCCCCACTGTGCTGTGGCTGCCTCCATTCTAGCACATGAAGGTGCCTGAGGACCAACAAGTGGTTCTGGCCCTGCCCAACCCTGGAACCACCCTGGGGAGGCACTGACTTGGCTTTGGCTCTGGGGGCCTCCTGGTGGTGTCTTCAGTACCACTACTGCTGCCTCCACCTGGCTGGCCTCCCCCTTTCATGCGGTAGGCAATGGCTGTTGGCTTCTCCAGGTCCTGGGGGCAGTAGGTGGCTCAAGTGACCATCTTAATGCTGTACTCCTAAGGTTCCATGGCAACAAGCACCTGACACTGGCCACTTCCCTCCCTCTGGTGGGAGGGAGTGGCCTCTCACTGGCTTAGTGTCTGCTCTATGCTCAGCCTTTACCCCTGTGGCATCCCCATCAGTCTTCCCCATAACCACATGAGCTCCCAACCCATTCCCTCTTTCCCAGAGGAGTAAACTAAGGCTCAAGGAGGGGCTGTGCCCTGTTCAGGGCTGCATATCATATCAGGGGCAGTGGGTGTGGGGTGGGTTCTGGAGAGTTTCCAGAGTGAGCAAGGGTACCTGAGGGGTCTCTTGAGATCTGGGGCCAGAGGACTCACGGACCAATGTCATTCAACTCCACCCAGATATTTTAGTGGCCCCAGGGGGCTGGCTCCCTCCAGGGGTGCTCTTTCTTTCTTTCTTTCATTTATTTTTTTTTTGAGACAGGGTCTTGCTGTTGCCCAGTGCTGGAGCTGGAGCACAGTGGTGTGATCATGGCTCACTGCAGACTTCCTGGCCTCAAAAGATCCTCCTGCCTCAGCCTTCTAAGTAGTTGGGACTACAGAGGCATGTCACCATGCTTGGCTAGAGGTGCACTTCTAACTGTGGGTCCTTCCAGGATCAGCTAAGAGCATCTCTAGCTGTGAAGCTACCCTCATCCTTTGCCCAACCTCCAGTAGACACCCAGATGGGACACACCACCCAATGACCCTGGCTGTGAGAAGCTCTCAGGTCACCCTGTACAAATGTGTGACTTGGGTGTACATGCTGTGCCTGCAGTCTGCAGATGACCTGCCTCACTCCATCCCTACCGCATCCCCATAAGACAGCACGGGGTCGAAGAGGCTATCCAGGTAGCAGTCCAGCCCCTTGTGGGGCCCAGCAGGCTCTCCAAGACTGTCTGACTCTGGAGGGGAGGGCACAAAAATGTCAAGACGTTCTTTTTTCCTGATGATTTCCACCCCCCATAGCCTCCAAGGCTCCCTCCCCACCAGAGACAGCAGCCATTGTTGGTTGATCTTGGTGGGTTGCTGTCCCTCTCTGGGCCTCAGTCTCCCCATTTGTACCATCCTCATTGTGGCTGCTGTTCCCATCAGAGTCCGGTACTTTGTGCATGTGCTCCTGGAGCTGGGGTCTAGCGGGTGTGTCCTCATCCGAGTCCCAGTTGTTCCCAAACACCCTGTGGGGAAAAGGAAAGTGGAGCTGCTGACCCCCAGAGAGATCCCAGAACCCCCCAAATTTTCCTCTGCACCCTGGAATTGGGTGGCTTTCTCCCTTTAAAAGCAGGATCCTTTGGTGAACTCTACCTCCTTAAGAACCTTGAAGTCTAAGTTCAGGGCTCAGCCTGTCCCAGCAGCTGGGAGGGGCAGGCCTTCTGCCTGGGAGTGGCCATCTGTGAGGGGGTCCCCCATAGCTACCTACACTTTGGGGCCTCCCCTACTGGGTACAGGTCCCTCTGCGCCCACAATGAAATAGGACTTCTGTCGAGGGAAGTCCTTGAGCAGCTCCAGGTTTGACACCAGGTCCAACACATAGTCGTGGCCAGCCAGCTCTGCCCATTGGACACCATTCTTCATGGCCACAGTCCAGCCACGCCAACCATCTGCCAGCCCCCTGGTGATGGCATGCACAGGAAAATAAATGAGGGACAGAGTCATCAGGCACTACCTGGGGAGATCCTGGGATATAAGGCAGACCCTAAACATGAATGGAGTGGACCCTATGGGACCCTTTGGGGGATCTGACCTCCCCCCAACCTACATTCCAGGTACCTAAGAGTGTGCTGGGAGGGCATCCTAGGAGCCAACCTGTGCCTGAGAATGTCTCCAGCCACCTCTTCTCCCGTACTCCAGGAGTGCACTGGGCAGGAGAACTGGTCACCTGGGGCACAGCAGATGCCAGGCTCAGGTTGGAGCAACTGAGTCCAGTCTGGCCGTGCCTCCCTGCTTGCTTCCTCCTCTCAGACTTCCTATATCTGTAGTCTCACTTCCCTGGCTTCCCATCTCCAGGCCAGGTCCCACCCCCACACACAGACTTTCATGTAGAGCCGTATCAGAGCAGGCCCTCCCTTGGCTCCAGAACATCCAGTGGCTTCTGCCATCCCTAGGGCTCACTGGGCCCTGATGACTCCCACTGCCCTCATTGAGGTTGGGGAAGGCAGCTTACCATTGAAGCAGCCCACGTCCAGCGCCATGCTGGCCTTCTCATAGGTCGCTGTCCACTCGAGCTTCGTTGGGGGTAAGGTTCGGGCCGCCCCCAAGCCCTGCTGTTGGGCCCGGCCCATGGCCTGCATGAGGCGGTGCTGACACACAGCCTGGAAGCCATTCCGCCCATAATCAGACACAAACCTGATGGGTAGGAGTTGGAACCAGGATCAAGAGGGATCTGAAGCTAGCTGGGGGCTGGTGAGTGGGGGTAGGTAATTCTGAGGCTAGTCTGAGAAAGGGCCAGGCTATTCCAGAGCCCCAAGGTGAAGCTGAAAAGGGCTAGTTCAGAAGGGTCCCAGGCTAGAGTCCAGTGCTCTGGGTCTGTACTTAAGGGGTTCCGGGCTAGCCTACAAAAGATTGCAGGGTAGCTTAATGTCCCCTGGCTAAACTGAAAGGGTCCCAGGCTAGCCCAGAAGTATCTCGGGCCAGCATAGAGGTCCAAGGATAGACCAAAGAGATTCCAGCTTGTTGGAACAAAATGTCATTGACAGGATGTGATCTGCAGCTGGGTGTGGGCAACAACCTGAACTCTGCCTTCATTCTCTCACAGGGTAACCTTGGGTGGTTATCTGCCCTCTCTGAGCCTCTCCTCCAAGTTTTCTTTTCTTTTATTTATTTATTTATTTATTTTTTGAAGCAGAGTCTCTCTCTCTGTCACCAGGCGCCAGGCTGGAGTGCAGTGGTGCGATCTTGGCTTACTGCAACCTCCGCCTCCCTGGTTCAAGCTATTCTGCCTCAGCCTCCTGAGTAGCTGGGACTACAGGTGCACACCACCATGCCCAGCGAATTTTTGTATTTTTTTTAGCAGAGACAGGGTTTCACCATGTTGGCCAGGATGGTCTCGATCTCTTGACTTTGTGATCTACCCGCTTTGGCCTCCCAAAGTGCTGGGATTACAGGTGTGAGCCACTGCACCCGGCTTTCCTCCAAGTTTTCTATAAAAGAGATGGCTGAGGGTTCAACTCAACCTAGGCTCAATGAGCCCAATCTCTACCAGTCATTCCTCATGCTTCCCTCACCTCCACATCCTACATTCCCTGCAGCTAAGCCTGGCTGCAGGCCCACAGTAGCCCACAGTAGCTAAAGAGGGAACCTAGCACCATGCTCTCAGGAAAGCCCTAGATAGGCAGGCCAGCAATAGCCCTACCCTGGTGTCAGCTGCCACAGAGTCACAAGACTGGCCAGGTGATGTCCATCTGCTGCATGCTGGCCTGAGCAAGATTCTGTAACTCTGTAGCTCACAGCCACTGTGTTAGGTGGGTTCTGTTGCCATCCCCAAATTATAGGGGAGAAACAGGTTCAGAGAGAGGCAGTGAATTGTCTCAGGCAGTGACTTGTCTCACATATGGCTGAGCTGAGATTTCAACACTGATTGAGTCCAGCATCCATGCTCCTAACCACCCCACTAAACTCCCATGCTGTGAGAGGTCAATGCCTCCCAGTAGAAACTCAGAGCAGCCCTGGCCAGCCTCCATGCCTGAGCTTTCCAGCATAGAGATCTCACTCTTGGCCTGACCTTTAACACCCCACCTGGGCCCCACTGCTGGTGCCACCATCCCTCATGTTCCAGTCCCTATCCAGTCCCACTCACTTGAGAAGGTACTTGTTGAAGCGCGGGGAAGGTGCAAAGCCACTGAGGCAGGAGGCCAGCAGCAGCCAGCCCCTCTCGGCATTGTGGGCATTGTGATTGTGCCACACCTGGTTGGCTAGCTGTGCCAGGATCTCATCCCGCAGCTCAGGCACCGCCAGCCCCTTCTGCACAATGTAGTTCCCGAAGATGTTCTCCTGGGCACCATGCAGGTGGGGGTCGCCCATGAAGCGCAGGATCTGGGCCACGAATAGAATGTCTTGGAAAGTTGTTCCTTCTGGTCCCCACCCCACAACATGCATCCCTTTCATGTCCCCATGTGTGCCCATGCCCACATAAATGCCCCTCATTTTACAACATAACTGCATATATATATGTACACACACACATATATATATATATACATACATACATATAAATATATATATATATATATATATTTTGAGATGAGGTCTCTGTCACCCAGGCTAGAGTGCAGTGGCAGAATCTCAGCTCACTGTGCCTCAACTTCCTTGAGCTCAAGCGATCCTCCTGCCTCAGCCCCTCAAGTAGCTAGGATTATAGGCATGTACAGCCACACCCAGCTAATTTTTGTGTTTTTAGTAGAGACAGGGTTTCACCATGTTGCCCAGGCTGATCTTAAACTCCTGGACTCAATGGATCTGCCCACCTTGGCCTCCCAAAGTGCTGGGATTACAAGCGTGCACCACTGCGCCTACAACTGCCATATTCTATGCCTAATGACTAGGCAGTTCATCTCGACTATGGGAAAACTCTAGATCCAAAGTATGTGTCGTCTTCCCTGTTCATGAACCTTCTAGAGCTCCCCGTACAGCCCCAGCTCCCTCCCCAGACTCCTGGCCTCCAGCCAAACCCCTCACTTTCTGCTCCATCTAGGCTGCAGAAGGTTCTTTTTAACATTCAGATACGACCACATCCCTCCCATGGAAGCTCCTGCCTTGGCTCCCTAGGTCCCTTGGGATGAAATCTAAGCTCTGGGTCTGTAATCAAGGCCTCACTGGCCACTCTCACCTTTGCCCTTCTGACTCTGTTCTGACCATACCAATTTCCTCTTCTCTCTCTACTTTCTCCACTTTCCCTGCCTGGCAAATTCTCCTCCAGCTCAAATGCCTTCTCCTTCAGGAAGCCCCCTGTGGCCCTACCCAGGGCTGAGTTAGTGGCCCCATCAGACTCCCTAGCCTTGGTGCTTCCCTCTGTCCATGCTGGTGGTCACTGGCCGGGTCAGCTCTGCTTCTCCATGAGACTGAGAAGTCCTTAAGGAGAAGACCTGGGTATCTTCTGAGTGTCCCTGAGAGGCTCCAAAGCAACCTTTTTATTTTTATTTTTATTTGGAGATGGAGTCTTGCTCTGTCGCCAGGCTAGAGTGCAGTGGCATGCTCTCGGGTCACTGCAACCTCTGACTCCCTGGTTCTAGCGATTCTCCTGCCTCAGCCTCCTGAGTAGCTGGGATTACAGAGATGTGCCACCATGCCCAGCTAATTTTTTTGTATTTTCAGTAGAGACGGGGTTTCACCATGTTGGCCAGGATAGTCTCAATCTCTTGACCTCCACCTCAGCCTCCCAAAGTGCTGAGATTACAGGAGTGAGACACTGTGTCTGGCCAAAGGCAGTCTTTGCCTGGAAGACAGCTGGGAGAAGAAAAGCCACCAATCCCCAGAGGAAGCCAGATCCCCTCGCTGACATAACACTTTCTTCTGGCTGGGTGCAGTGGCTCACGCCTGTAATCCCAGCACTTTGAAGGAGGCTGAGGCAGGCGAATCACGAGATCAGGAGTTCAAGACCAGCCTGGCCAATATCGTAAAACCCTGTCTCTACTAGAAATGCAAAAATTAGCCATGTGCATTGGCACGGGCCTGTAGTCCCAGCTACTCGGGAGGCTGAGGCAAGAGAAACACTTCAGCTCGGGAGGCAGAGGTTGCAGTGAGCCAAGATTGCACCACTGCAATCCAGCCTGGGTGACACAGCAAGACTCTGTTTCAAAAAAAAAAAAAGTTTCTCCTTTCGGGAAGAGGTGTGGGGCTCATGGATTGGGCTTGGGGAGGGCTGGGAAGACTGGGAGCCTCATGGCCCAGCGTCAGGTCCAGGGGCTATGAATTAGAAGGTGGGCTGGGGAGGACCCCATACCAGCTTGAAGATGCTCACAGCTTCCGCATGGTGCTCGGCTGGCAGCTGCGTAAGGGGTGTCCTCAGGGGCACTGTCAGCATCCCAAAGGCAGGTTCCTAGGGCATAGGGCAGGCATGTGAGCAGACAGCGCTGAGACATAGGCACATTTGGACCCACTGCCATGTGCCACATGGGGCCCCAGGGCCTACGACACAGGGGCTCTGGTCCTCAGTGTATGGATAGGGAAACTGAGGGCTGATGCGGGGTCACAGTGACCTTCAGCAAGTTGGTGGTAGGGACAGGATGAACTCTCATCTGGAGGGAAGGAAATCAGAACTGGGCTGATGTGCTATGGCTCTACCAGTTGTTTCTGAAATATTTCCAGACTGGTTGGTAGTAAATAGCCCTGCCCAAGCCCATGAGGGCTCTCCACTGCTATCCAGACCCCAGGGATCTCCCAGAGTCCCTATGATCCAGCAACTAAAAGGCTCATACCCAACACCACTGGGCACAGCCAGGACCCTGCCCCAGGGAAAGGACAATGTCCCTTCTAATTGGTCAGCCCTATCAGCCAAGGCGCCTTGGACCTCAGCTAGCCCTTGCCTTGAAGTGGCACCGGACAAACTTGGCCATGGGATAGTTGTTGATATCCAGGGGCAGTGTGACACGGGGCTCAGCCTGGAGCCGAGGAGTCCGCACAGGGGCCACCCGAGGCACCCGGGACAGCCTGAGGCCTGTGGAGAGAGGAGGGAATGCGGTGCCTGCTCCAATCTGCCTGTGCCCTCTCTGCGCCCAGTGCCAACCCACCTGCCACTGCTTGCAGGAGCCCAGCCAGCTCAGCCGGTACCTCGAGGTGCCCCACAGCCACTACCTCCCGCTTACTCAGCTCCTGGAGGAACAGTGCATGGGGCAGGGACAGGCCTGCCACATCCCCACCTGCCAGCCTCCCTCCCTGGCCCTGCTGCCACCCAGACCTGCACCTACCTCCTGCTCCTGCAACTGTGCCCCCTCCACCTGGTGCCTCCACACTGCCCTTGGCTTCAGAAGAGCAGATGTCAAGGTGGGAAGTGGCGGACAGAGGCAACCGTGGACACCCAGGCAGGCCAGGCCAGCTTATGCAAGGCAGCCACACTCAAGCAAGGAGGGGTAGCTTGCCACTGCCCCACTCCACAGGTCAGGTGGGAGGCCGAGGTTGGCAAGAAAAACAGGGAGGGGAAAGGACAGAGAGCAAGAGAAAGACAGAGGCAAAGAGCAGAGGGACGAAAACTCTGGGGAAAGAGATGCACAAGGAGGATTTCTGGGAGGTGGCCGAGTACTGTGTCATGGGAAGCCCTCCTGTGTCACAGGCCTTCAGTAAAGGCTACATACTGCTTTGTTGGTTTGGGAACTGCGTTTGTCTTTCTGGTGGCTGGTTTACATTACAGTGGGCCAAGATATGAAGGTAAGAGCAAAACCATACCCAGTGACATTCAGGTCGCCAAATTCTAATGGCTCTCAATTCCTTAAGACCCCACTATGAACCTAGCACCAGGCCAAATCTCCAAATCTTTCAATGCAACGTCTCGTTTAACCCTCTCCACAATCCCAAGGGGTAGATTGGAAAATTGAGGATAGAGAATGGCCCAGGTTACACAGATAGTGGGTGGCAGAGGCAGAATTTGAACCCCAAACTGCCTGAGGCCAATGGTCTCCTCTTGGGTGCTAAGTGCCTTTTCCCCTTCTCTCCTGTCCCCTTGGACGGAGATAGGGTAGGGCCTGTACCTTGAGGTAGCGTCGGCGGCTCATGTATGTGTGTACCAGGGACCGGAACTTCACCAGACTCCTCCTCATCTGCTGATAGCGTTGCCTGGATTGGGGGAGTGGGGAAGTCAGGGATTGGGGCTACAGGGTGACAGGGTGAAAAAGGGGCAGAAAGGCCCCTGCCAGCCTAGCCTGGGAGCCAGTGTTCTCACCTCACACTTGGGGCCCTTTGGCACAAAGGAAACTGAAGCTCAGAGAGGGGCAGTGACTTGGCCAAGGTCACACAGCAAATTAAGTAGCAGGGCCTGGATTAAACCTACCTGAATCATTTATTTCCAAACATTTTATAATCTCAGGGTCCCTGAGATGCAGGATAAGGCCCCTCTTGGCTGAATGGATTCCCACCCACCAGTCACAAGGGCCTGGGGATGGCTGGGAAGGGCATCCAAAAGCAGAGACACAGAGAATCTGATTATCCTCCCTGCAAAGGCCTCCATCCTCAGCTTGCACGCTTCCAGGAATAGGGAGCTCACTATTCAAGATTGGACGTCACCTCTCCTGAGCCTGACCATAGGTCTCCTAGGAATCCTGCCTTTTCTGGGCCTCACCTGGCAAGGTAGCCACGGGCCCGGCTTTGCAGCAAGATGATCTTGTGGCGCAGAGAGCGGAATCGCCGCTTGATGAAGAAGCCACGGAAGCAGCGCTGCAGAGTAAGGGCTGCCAGATTCAGGACGTGCTCCCGCATACTCTCCAGCAGCTGGTGTAGGTGTTCCTTAAGGAACAGCTGAGGACAGGAGGCAGGCACTGAGGCAGATAGGAGCCAGGAGGCTGGACTAAGGGCCCCTCCCTCTCTAGAATCCGTGGAGACAGAATAGACAGAGATGCCTCCTGGAGTGGAACTGGAGGGATGAGGTGGATTTGGAGAGGTGGAAGAAAGGGTGCTGGTGAATCGGGCAGTTAACATTCCATGTCCCAAGCTCATCTGGGTTGTTCCTGGGACAGTGGTCTCAAGCTTGGACATTTCTGACTCAGTGGTTCTGGAGCCCCTGAATTGGGGTCTCTTAAGGGCTGACTGTGGGGTGGGACTCACCTTGCTGACCCCAACACGGTACATGTTTGGCATGACTGTGCACAGGCGACTCAGCACCGATACACACATGTCCCCGTTAGCCGGCAGGTTGTGCTTGAGGGCCACTAGACAGCAGTACCTGGCAGGGGGCCCACACTCAGTCTGGGGCTATGAGACCTACCCGAGGTGCCTGCTAGACCATGGGGTTACCACCCCCGCCCCGTGTCCAAGAGGCCTGGTCCCAGTGGTGACTCCACTAATAGTGCATTCTAAAAAAGGCACTCCATTCTCAAGACTTTACTTCAGGGTGACAGAAAATTGTTACAATAGATGATTTCAGTAGAACAAGACACTTGACTGCCACTTGCTGGAAACTTTTTGTTGTAACTACTAAAACCATTTTAATCAACATGGAGGGTTGATTATATGTATTATACGTTATACAGCATGTAATAAAACTACAAAAAAAGGCAAAACAATAAATGTATATACCACATAACAGCTAGCATGTGGCAGCCTTATGTAGTGTACAATCTGAGCAACTGTGCACGCAAGCCCTGTGCTGCCTGGGTTGCATATTCCTGGGGCCATGCGGAGTTGCACAGGGATTTATAGAGCTCAGGAACTACCCTAACCAAGGTACCTGTCGATGAACCCCTGGAAAGGCAAGCGCACTGGAAATCCCTCCTTGCGGATCCTCACAGTCTCCAGCACCCCTGAATAGCGTAACTGTGCCATTACTACATCTGGCTCAAAGAGACCAGGCTCCTGTAGGGGTGCACAGAGAGGGAGTCTGCACATTGGCTCATCCATGTGCAAAGGGCACTATCATGGTGAACAGTCCCAGTGCGAGGCTGGGGAGATGCAGGTCCAGAGAGGCCAAGCCACTTGGTCAAGATCACACAGCATGGGCAGGAGGATTTGGCTCTCTCAGAGGTCTCAGCTCTCACCTTCTTGTGGTTGGGCTTCAGGCAACGCACAAACAAGGGGTTACACCTGGCAGTGGCAGGAAGAGAATAGCATGAGGCCTCAGAAAAAGAAGGCTCTCACCCTCTGAAGGTCATGAGGCGGGTTAAGGGTGAGGCTGGGTGCTCCGCCCACCTGCCCCCCACCCCACCTCTCCATCTTTTCCACCAGATCCAGGAGTGACTGCTGGAACTTGGCAGCCACGGTGTGCGCCTTGTAGAGCCGAGTGACGGAGCTGCTCTTGCCCAGGCGCTGAGGGGCAGCCTGTGGGGCATGGCTGGAGAAGAGGTGTGCCACCACCTGGGCAGGGATTGGGGGAGGGAAAACACAGGCAGGGGCCAGGAGACCGAAATGAGGAGGAACAGAGAGCAGGAGTCAAGTCTCTGGACCAGGGGATCTGAAGACTAACTGGACCCCTGTTCCCTCTGCAAGGTCTCTGTTGTCCTGGCTTGCATGCTTCTCAAAACAGGTGGGGCTCCGTACCTTCCAAGGGATCCATCCCATAACTGGCTGACTTTTCCCCCTTTAGTCTGAGGAACACACAGTCACTGACTGTGTGTCTGACCCCAACGTGGCTTGTTAGACATATGGTTGTGAACTCTGGCTATGACCTCGTGAGGAGGGTGCCCAGTTGACAGGAGGAAGCAGGGGGCCAGATAGGGGAGGTGATGTTACTAGGCCTGTGCTCTGTCCTAGGGCCATCTACTAGCCACAGTGTAGTTGGGATGCAGGGTCTTCCCAAGCCTTCAAGGAACCCAAATTTGGTCCCCCAAGCTCTCCCCAGGGCCTTATGGGTGGAGTAGGGGGAACTGAGAACACCAGGAGGTGGGATTGGGAGAACAGGTCTAGCAGAAAGCCAGGAGAGAATGGGCCAGGGAATGGGGTGGGGCCAGGAATGCGGTAAGTACAGGGCAAGGCCACAGCTGGTGGGATACAGGGTTAGAACTGGGAGTGGGGCCAGGGTCTGGCCACTGGGGCTGGGGGGAGCCAGAGGGCAGGATCAGGACGAGGAGCTAGGTTTAGGGAAGAGCCAACCTAGGTGAGAACAGGTCTGGCCAAAAGCAGAGCCAGACTAGACAACATGGTCCAAGGCCTGCAGACGGCTAGGTGTGGGGGCAGGGCTGTAGCGGCAGAAGGGAGGCTCACCCGTGTCCGGCTTCTTACGAACAGGTCTAGCACGTCCTGGCGCACTTGATCGTGGTTCTTGTCCAGGAACTTGTGCACCTGAAAAAGGAAACAACAGCCTGAGTAATCCCGGCCCTGCCCCTCCAGGCCTCTGTCTCTCTGTCAATCCTAGGAGGGACTGGATCCTCCTCACTGCTATGGTCCCCACCCCTCCAGACCCACCATTCTCCCCATTTTTGGGGAGGGGAGCATTTGTCATGGCTTCACATGCGGGGTCTGGGTCTTGGCCTCACCCTCAGGACAATGGGTACATTGTCCGGTGCCCATTCTACAGATGAGAAAAGTAAGGCCCAGATGGGGACAGAGGCATGGAATCCTAGCCTGAGACACCTCCAGGGCAGGAATGTGCCTCAAAAAATAGGGCTGAGGGTGCCCACAGTGATGTCACTACTGGTAAGAGCTACTCTTTATCAAACCCACCTTACATTTCTCACACCAACCCCATTAGATGGGCACTATTATTATTCCCATTTTCCAAGTGAGAAAACTGAGGCTCAGGCTGGCTAAGCAGTTTGCTCAAGGTCAGAGCTGGGGCACAGCAGAGCCAGAACTAGACCTGGGTGTGAATGTGTGGGGCCGGGGTTGTGCTTCTGTGTCTCTAACAGCTAGCAGCACTGCAGCACCAGGGGCCAGACCGGCCGTCTCGGGGCTCACCTGGTAGGTGACCTTGCCTGCATAGTGCTTGATGGTGAACTCAGGCAGCGGCATCTTGGGTTTAGAATAGAGCGGATTGGCGCCATGATGGTAGTGGCACTTCTGTAGGAAGGTGTGGTCTGTAGCCTGGGGGCAGTTAGGGATCAGTTGGTGGGCAGGGGGCCTGGACACCCTGTTCCTGGCCTGGTGGCAAACTCACTATCCCTGACTGCTCCCTGTTGGGCACCAGCAAGGAACAACTCACAGCTTCCCATGACTGCGCCTCTCCCTGGGTCACAAGGCAAGCGCCTTAGCCAGGCACTGGAGGCCTAAGTAGTCCCTAAAGATACATGTGGCTGGGTGAGTTCCTAACTGCCTCCCCTCCAGGCCAGCTGTCTTTGCACTCTATTGATCTCACTGCCATCCACTCTTGTGTTTTGCAATCAGGATCCGAGGCTCAATCCTAAGGTTACCTCCTCCAGGAAAACTTCTGTGTTTTTCCAGGCTGGTGCAGCCTCTCCTCTGGACACCCACAGCTGCCCATATGGCCTTAATCACCCCAGGTTGTGGATAGTCAGTTGGGTGCCCCAACCTCCCACTGCCCACCTCAGGCCTGAGCAGAGAGGAATGAAGGAGTCAGGCTGGGAAGACAACACGAGGCTGAGAGATGTGTGACCTGACTAGGCTCACACAGTACCTGCGGCTCACCTGAGGAAAGCAACACTGGTCATCGAGGATGCGCAGGATGCCATAAGGCTTCAGCGAGATGAGGTTGATGCAAGGCTGGTTGTCAGCAAATGTGATCTCCTGCCAGTCGATCTGCTCACGGATGTACTCCTCCTGCAGGCAGGGGGCAGCAGGAGCTCAGCCTCCCATCCCTATCCAGGGTCCACCCACTCTCCTCCTTCAAAAAGCTTGAGCTCAACCACAGATCCTGAACCTGCCTGAAGGAGCCCGGCCAGCAGCACCTCTACTTGCATACCTCCCAGAATAGGGAGCTCACCCCCTAATAAGGCAGCATGAGCCAACTCAGAGTCCTGCTGCTCCCTCTGCCTGGGACAGCCCAGTAGAGGACAAGGACTCCCCCAAGGAGGCTCCTTTCTGAGTACAGCACCTTAGCACCTTTCCCTCCAGAACAGAGGCCTTCCCATGAGCTGGTTCCCAGCTTAGAATGCCTTTTCCTCCACTGGCTGTGATGTCAGAATTGCTCTTAAACAACAAGTATATCCTTGTTTGTCTCCAAGAAGGTCCACTGTTCAGGAGTGTTAATGGGGCCCACACACCTGCTCCTCCTGGAAGACGATCTTGTTAAAAAGGTACTGAAGGTTCTCGTTTGCGTAGTTAATACACAGCTGCTCAAAGCTGTTGAAGCTCAGGTCCTGCCAGGTGGATAGGGAGGCTGGGAACAGTCCTTCCTGAGTCACCAGCCTATCTGCCCCTGCCTTTCCTGGTGGCAACTTCAAAAAGCTTGAGCTCAACCACAGACCCTTAGCTCAGAACCCTCCATGGCTCCTGCTACACCCAGGACAGACCTGACAGGCTCTGTCCTGACAGCACAGGCAATGGCTGAAGGCCCAGGCTCCAGGGCCTTCTGCCTAGGTTCAAATTCTGGGTCTGCCACTTTCTAGCTATATGACCTTGAATAACAGTCCCACGCCTCAGTTTTCCCATCTATAAAATGAGGATATGGACAGTACCTGCCTCATAGGGTTGCTCTAAAGATGAAGTGAATTAACAAAGTGCTTTCAGCAGCACCTGGCACGTAACAGGTGCCACGTGAGTGTCCGTGATGGTTGCCTTGTGATCTTGCCCTGTGCCTCGCCACTTCCCTTGCTGTGCACTCACACAGCAGTCACCCCCCACATGAGAAGTCCAGTCCCAGATTCCATGCCCCTCCATCCCTCCCAGCCTTTGCATATTCTGTTCCCTGCACCTATAGTGCCTTTGCTGGGTGTCAGGAGTGTCTCATCCCCATCCAGGAAGCCTTCCCCATTCCTGCCCAAGTGAATGATGCCCACTGGAGCATATGGGGTTGTCAGAGTCTGCCCCCACCCCCACCCAGCCTCACCTGGAAGCTCCCCAAGGGCAGGGCCCTGACTGGTACTTTCTGGGCAGCTGGTATTGCCCAGCACAGGGTCTGGCCCAGAGGCCTTGGGGAGTGCTTGTGGTGAGTAAAGAAAATGGAAGGTGACAAGGGAGATAGTGACGGGGAGGGGTCCATGAAGGGAAAATGGCACCTGCTGCAGGCACAGAAAAGGATGGGAAGGGCAGCCTGAGACATCTGAGGGAGGTGAGACCTCGCCTATGTCCCCTGCCCCTCAGCCTCCCACATGGCCCCACCTCAAAACCGTAGATGTCCAGGATGGCGATGGACAGTGTATCCTGCCGCGGGGAAACCAGCGCATTGACCCTGGCGATGAGCCAGCTGAACAGCAGCGCATACAAGACCTTGGCGATGGCGTCCCTAAAGCAGACGTGGCGTTGTTGTGGGCAGGATACTGTGGTGGGGTGCTGGGCCCTGGGGCTCAGGCAGGGTGGGGTGCGGCCTCACCTGGCATCCACAGCGCTCTCCACAGTTAGGGGTGTGAAGATCTTCTCTCGCATTGTCTCCTAGGGAGGGGCACAGCCCTTGAGTGACAGCAGGCTGGCCACTGCCTCCAGAAAGCCCCCAGGGGACTAGGGGAGTAGAGCATGAGGAAGGAAGGCTGGAGGGATGTGACTGGGCTCAGGCACACAGAGGCTAGGCAGGACCACCCCCGCCCCTACCCGACTCTGCCTGGCAATGCTGGTCATGGTGGGGACTGCAGGTCTAATGGGGGAGACAGAGGCATCAGCAGACACAATGAGATCAACCCTGGGCAGGGGGAATGATCCTAGGGCTGTGAAAGACCAGAGGAGGCACTGACCTGGCCAAAGATCAGAGAAGGCTTCTTAGCGGAGAGAATAGCTGTATACGGTTTTAAAGGACAAGTAGGTGAGAAAAGAGGAAGAACATTCCAGGTAGAGGAAACAGCCTATGCAAGTTGGAGCTTGGAGTCTGAAATGTCTTTAGGGTCTGAAATTACTCCCTTCCATGCCTGACCCAGGGACAGAGAGCAGGGGAGAGGGAGAGGCTGCCCACACAGGATGGGTACAAGGCAGCTCTGACCAGGCCCTGGTAGGAAGTTTTGTTTGAAGGCCAGATGCCCACAGACTCACGGTCACTTTGAAGGTGATGGCCTTCTGCAGGCCCTCAGGGGAGATCTGTAGCAGCTCAGCCACAACCTGGATTTCCCGGGCACTCACCACTGAGGCCACCTCCTGTGCATCCGTCTATGCAAAATACCAACAGGAATGTGTTTTGAACTAGATAAGCTGAATTTAAAGTTCATTAAAAAAACAGGGCAGGGCACTATGTCTCAGGCCTGTAATCCCAGCACTTTGGGAGGCTGAGGTAGGCAGATCACCTGAGGTCAGGAGTTCGAGACCAGCCTGGCCAACATGGTGAAACCCTGTCTCTACTAAAAATACAAAAATTAGTGGGGTGGTAGTGGCACGTGCCTGTCATCCCAGCTACTCGGGAGACTGAGGCAGGAGAATTGCTTGAGCCTGGGAGGCAGAGGTTGTGGTGAGTGGAGATTGTGTCACTGCACTCCAGTTTAGGTGATGAGTGAGACCCCCCGCTCCCACCAAAAACCATTGTAAATGAAGGTATATGTCCAATTTATATCAGAGACAAAGGGTTGATTTCCTTAATTTCTACAAGGAGGAGAAAGATGAATAAGCCCAAAGGAAAAAAGAAAACAACAGGACAAGTGATGTGTGCATAGTGTAATCTGAAAGGGAAACAGATAAGGCCTTGGAAAAGATAGCCAAGTCCAGAGGGTGCGGGCCCATAGCAGGCTGTGGCACCCCTCACCTCATACTTCTCAAAGTAGACGTTGCCCAGGTGCAGGATGGAGGCCAGGATGCGGAAGATGCTGTCCTGGTCCTCACTGCTGAAGCCCAGCACCTCCATGGCAGCCAGGAGCCGGCGAAAGTCATCTGCATCGCTCTTTCCTGCAATCTCACAGTTCCCACCCTGGGTGAGGACAGAGGCTGAGGGTCAGGGAGCTTGGGTAGGGCTGCAGAGCCCTCCGGGTCCCACTCTGCCCTAACCAGCAGTGTGGCTTGAGCTGGTCACTCAAGCTCTCATTCCACTCTCATGGGCACAGAGGCTCTGAGCAGGGCTGAGGATGGGATTCATGGATTCTAAGTGCAATGTGTGGCAGGGGTTGTCACTTGCTGATCTTTGCAGCTGCCCAGTGATAATAATGAAAAGAATAGTCAGTGTTTACTGAGCATGTCCTGCACGCCAGGCCCTGTGCTAAGCTCTTTACCTGCATTTCCTCATCTAAGCCTCACTACATCCCTGCAAAGTGGTACTATGTTGGCCCCATTTCACGGATGAGGAAACTGAGGCACAGCGAGGGGAAGTGTAGTCACTCTAGGCTGGTTGGTTCTGATCCAGGTTCCAGAGAAATGAAGTCAGGTAGGCCTTTCCTGCTTCTGCTTTGGACCCAGAAGATTCCTGGTCCCCCTTACTGTGACGAGCTATCTTAAATCCAAACTCACCCTCCCCAAATCTCCATCACCTTCACATTCCATCACTCACAACTGGGCTCCCTCGGCCCACCCAGGGGTGTTGAGGTGGGAGTACCAGGGCTGGGGGCCGTCAGAGGCCTGCTGGCACTCACCTGGTTCAGATAGTAGTAGGTCTCGGCCTCCTGCAGGCTGAAGGCCTGCCGGAGCTGGGCAGGCAACCCAGCCAGCAACTCATAGAAGATGTGGTAATTCCTCTCGTTTTTGGCCTGTAGAGTGGATAGTGGACACAGAGAAGGGAGCCACCTACCTAGGTGATCCCCAGGTACACACGCAGGTCCAAGCCCATGAATACACATCACACAAGGGACTGCAGATGAGAACACGTGCCTCTGTAATGAGTGAGGCTCCCAGCCTGGCACCAGCTGGGGTGAAGGCAGAAGCAGAGGTGCCCTGGTATGATTGAAGGTTGAGAGGGTTCTGGTTTTCAGGATTTCATTTGGTTAGGAGAAAGAAGAGAAAAAAGGGCCATCTTCTCTTGTGTGTACCGGCCACACACACCAACATACATGTGTGTCCGTAGCCCACATGTGTACACACAGAGCTTCTTGATGGCTGAGCACTTCCTGTGCACCAGGCCCTGTCCAGGCCCTTGGGACATGGGGGACAAGGCAGCGAGAAGCCCCTGATCTCATGGAGTCCACCTGCTAGCTAGGGAGACAGACACTCAGCAAATCACTGGTTAAAACATAAAATATATTAGATGGAGGAAAGTACACTGGAGAAAAATAAGGCAGTGGACAGAGTGGGGGTTCAGACGGGATGGAGAGGTGCTGCGTTTTTAAATGGGGAGCTTCCTGAATGAGTGAAATTGTAGGGGAGGCTTGGAGGAGGTGAGGGGTTTGGCCAAACAGGCGCCTGACAGATAAGTGCCCCTGAGAGAAGGAACAGAAGGTGCAAAGGCCCTGGCAGGACCATGCCTGTGTGCTGTGGGGCAGGGAGGAGCCACTGTGGCCAGAGGAGGGTTAGAGAGGGGAGGTCTCGGGCTTACATGTACATGTGTATTCAGTCATTTATTTGACATCTACCCAACCCCATCAGGGGCCAGGCTCTGAGTATCTGTGCCTCCCACCCCCACCCTGCCCAACACACAGGCCTGGGAGGGGCTGGCCCACCTGAAACACGATCCTGGATTTCTCAAGCAGGTACTGGGAGGTTATGGCACCAGAGATCACGCCCCTGGGGTGGTGAGCATAGTCAGCTCTCAGCAGGGGAAGGAGGGCTGGTGTTGGCTCTCAGGGGCTGTGGTGAGACATGGAAGACACTGCAAGGCCTTTGGGAGGCCCTCCACTGTCCCCACTCACCCTTCCAGAAAGATCTCCACGAACTTCCCGAAGCGGCTGGAGTTGTCATTCCTGACGGTTTTGGCATTACCGAAGGACTCCAAGAGGGGTGTTGCCTCCAGGATCTGGACTCCAGAAGATGTGGAGATTGAGGGGCTAAGCACTGTCTCGGGGCCTGGATGGGGGGCATAGCTAGGGATACCCAGACACAAGCCTCCCCAAGGACCTCCCTTTATGAGGGGTGACCAGAGGTGGGCTCTCTAGAGAATCCTGAGGTCTCTCCAGTGTCCCCAAGTGGCTGGCCCCCACCCCATGCTGCCCAACTCCCACACAGCAAACCCAGTGCTTCCCTTCTCCCAGCCTTCCAGCCTCCATGGCCCCCACGGCAGCCCCTGACCACAAGCCCTAGCCCTGCCCAGGACAGGCCTTTGGATATCCCTTCCTGCCTGTCCCTCCACCCACACAGGAGCAGGCACATCCACATGCATTTTCCCGGACACACACCCACTCACAAATTCTCTCTCTGAGTACCTTTATCTTCAAGAGCACCCAGGAGGGAGGAGAAAGAGAGAGACAAGAACAGAATGCATCACTAGCAGGACCCACCACCTCTCTCTCCAGGAGACCAGATGCCTCAGCCAGGGAGGGACTGGCAAAAACCTTCGAGGCTCAGAGATCCTAGAAGTCCGGGCTTGGGGACTGCCATGGGGTCTCCAAGGTATAAAAATATGCCGGTTCTGGCTTCCAGAAGGCTCTGGGGATGTCCTCTTCTCCCCCTCCCATGACCACCACCAGCAGGATCCCTGAACCTCCTCCCTGACCTTCCTCACTGTTCCCTGACACCCAGACCCACTATTGCCCCTGGGCATTTACATCTCCTGTTCCCTCTGCTTGGAAGCCACAGCTCCCATGCACCTGCATGGCCCCCTGCCTCACCTCTCACAGGAAGACCACAGAATTCTCTCCCTGGCAGTCCTCAGCCCCGCTGGCAAACTCTATTTTCTTGGGTATTGTCTGTCTCTCCACTAGAACGTCAAATCTCACAGGCACGAATCTACTGTTTGCACATCTGAGTCCCCAGCAAATGCACAGACCTGGTGCTTAGTAGGCCCTCAAAAAATATCTGCTAAAGGGATGGAAAAAGAAATAGCAGCCTATGGGCAGAGCTGCCCAGAGGTGACCATGGCTGATCGCAAGCTCCCACCTGTTTAAGCACCTAACTGTATGTGAGACACATTGCCCTGATGATGCCATTGTTAACAATCCCATGAGGTAAGTACTAATATCACCCTGGTTTTGCATATTAGGAAACTGAAGCTTAGAGAGGTGAAATGACATGCCCAGGGACTCCAGCATCCACTCGAGTGATGAGCATGAGGCTATCGTGTACATGGCTCTTTCTTCAGCTGAGGCACTGCCTCAGAATAATCTTTTAGGGAAGAGGCAAAGGAGGTCCAGTCACCACAGAAACAATACTTGTAATTTTGGGGATGGAGTTAGTTCCCTCTATCTGTTCACAGGCACCATCCCATTTAGTCCAGGAAATACTGCACCCATTGTATAAAGAGGCACACTGAGGTCCAGAGAGGGATGGGGGCTGGCTTTGAGTGCCCAGTGAGTCAAGGTCCGCCTGGGTTTTACTGTGTAATATCCCTTAGTCTGGGAAGTCCTGGAGGACAGGTTGGCTACTTCTCTGTTCCCGATGCCTAGCATACAGGGCATAAAGCCGGCAGATAGAGTAGGTGAACATAAGAGGGGTGGAACCTGTGGCCCAGGCCTCAGCCAGTCGGGGCAGAGCATTCCCCATGCTCTGGGATTGGTTCCAGTGAGGACGTATGACCAAAACTTGTCCAGTGAGATGGAGCTCTGAGCCTTTTTCTGAAATGTTGGGAAGGTTCATCATCTTGCTGACCAATGGGAGACAGCTGTGGATGATGCCCATACATGGGGGAGGTTGGAACCAAGACAAGAGACATTGTTTAAGATTCTGGATCCAGCCATGCCAAAAACTGACCCTAGAACTAGACTGTTTGAGATTATCTGAGCAAGGGAGAGCCATGTCTAGGAAATAAGCCCCACAGTCATCACAGCTGGCAGGCATATCCTCACACCTTCTGTGTGCCTGGCACACAGAACGCCAAGACTCAGCCACATCCACAGCTCCATTCATCCTCCCTGACGCTCACTGCCATGGACTGCAAATCGCTGCTCCTGCACCACCTCACTCCTCCCTTCTTAGGCCTCAGTGCTCCATCTATAAACGGATGCACACGTACCTACCTCCCAGAGTTGCTCTAAAGCTCTGGTGTGACGATAACTGAAGGAAACCAGCACTGTGCCTGGCCACAGGAGGTGCACAGGGCACACTCATTTCTTTCCCTGCCTACCTAACCAGTCATTTCAAAAGTCTGACCTGAAAGGTTTTGAAAACTCTGCTTGGAGCAAGGGATGATCTGATTGGTCATCAGGAGGACTGGGCTGGGATGGGAGAGGCTGGCAGGCCAAGGTAGGCATCAGAGGGGGCCAGGCCAGGCTGGAACCTGACCGCAAAGCCTGCACAGCCCCTTCCAATGCCCCCAATATCACCTTACTGGGCTCGCCACTGGCTGGGATATTGTGACCATGTGCAAACCTTTGTGGACCCCAGGGTCGGGGAAGTCTGAGTCTGTGGTTATGGAGTCTGAGCTGGCAGGCCAGCCCCACCTTCTCCTGAGCTCCAGGCTGGTGGTATATCCATCACCTCCCTGCCATCTCTGTGCAGGTACCTAGCAGGCACCTCTTCTCAACAAACCTGCTCCTCCTCTCCACTGCCCAGCCTGCCTCTGTGCTGCCTGTGGCTCAGGACGAATGTCTGGGGTCACCTCCGACAATTCTCTCTCACACCCCAGTCTGTCTTCTATAGGCTGCTGGCTGTCTTTGACCTGCTTGCACCTGCACCTGGACCCAACCTGCTTGCACCTCAGGGTCTTTGCAGGTGCTCCTCCCTCTGCCTCTTCATTGTTCCCCTAGACATTCCCAGAGCCCACTCCCTTGCCTTTTCAGTATAGCCTACCCTGACCACTACACTTATGACTATGACCCCTAACACTCCCCACCCTTCTCTCCACTTTTTTCCTTCATAGCTCACCACCTACCCTTTCACGTACACATAATTTACTTATATAAGTGTATATGTATTTGTCGTCCCGCTTCCATCACTAGAATGAGGTTCCCACGAGGGTGTGAACATTTGCTCGAGTTGCTGCTGCCCCTCCTGGATGCCTAGCCTGGGCTTGGCACACAGTAGGTCCTCAGTAAGTCTTTACTGAGGAAATGGATGGGGTTCTAGCATTCTCAGGTTCAGAGGGCTTAGCACCATCCTTTTCAGCAAAGCTCCAATCCTGCAGACTCTGGCCTGGCATCTACTGCCTCCCCCACCCCACCCCTAACCCACACACAGGCCTGCCCTGCCTCTTCACTCCTGGGGGCTGCATAGCTTGTGAGTGTGAGAATATGGCGGCCCAAGAGCCATGACCAGGAAGGTGAGGCCAGGTGAGAGAGGTGAGAGAGATGGGATGACTCCCCTTCCCTATGTGATCTCTCCCCTGAAGTGGCCCCAGAGGGCTGGAACCAGGAGCTGCCATGGAAACACAGGCAGGCAGAAACTCTCACCCCTCAGGCACACCCCTGGGATGGGTGACAGAAAGAGCAGTCCTGGGCAAGGCCTCCTTCTGGAACTCAGCCTCCCCATCTTCCTACTGGTCCAAGGAGCTTTGCCTCTTGGGGAGCACATGGGGTGTGCTTATCAAAGGGTGCTCAGCCTAGGGTCCTGGGGAGACAGGTGGACTCACCTGCTGCATGACATCCCGTTTCTGGTTCATGGAGGCCAGGTAGCGCAGAATCAGCTTGGTGGCCTCAGTTTTGCCAGAGCCGCTCTCTCCACTGACCGAGCAAAGAGGCAGAGTGAGCTCTAACCTTTCACTACTTCTTCTGGGACACCCCAACCCCCACCATGAAGCAAGAGGATGTGTGTGGTGGGCTAACCCAGAGGTGCCAGGCAATCTTCTGATGTCCCACAGCAGTTCTGGCCAGATTCAGGCCTGTTACCGGAAGTCCCCTATTTATCCCCCACATGAGACAGCCTGCTCACCTGATGATTATGCACTGGTTCTGTTTGGCATCAAGCATTTTGGCGAAGGCGAGATTTGCAATCGCAAAAAGGTGCCTGGGAGACAGGTTATTAGAGCCAGCCCCTGCCTCTAAGCTCCCAAACCTCCCAGGGGTTGGGCAGGGAGCATCCGTATTCAGCCAAATAGCCAATCCTGCCCACCCCTCACCCTGTTGGGGGAATGCTCCCACCTGCATCCAGGTCTGAACCACAGTGGCCTCCGACCCGTGGCTGTGGCCCTGCCTGGGGACAGACTGTCAGGTTGAGTAGTGGGCTGCCTTTCCCCATTACCTCTGACTCATGGCTGAGATGCAGCCAAGATTCAGGCTCCCAGAGCAGGGGAAAGAGGGGCCCAAGAGACCCCAGGGCAGGTCCCCCTGAGACACTCACGGGGGATTCTCTCCCAGGGCCCGCCTGTTGTACTGCTGCACCTGCTCCGGCCCATAGATTCTGAACATTTGGTATGGGTTCACTGACACCAGGATGCTCCCGATGTATGTCTGCTGGGCAGATGGTGGCCTCAGCGCCATGGCTCCTTGCAGCCCTCTGTGTCCCTCCCTCCCCTACGCTGGAAGCCTGGCTCCCTGTTTCCATACGGACAGATATCTGGCTATCTGGACTTGGGATTCCCATCTAGAGCTCTCTACCAGCTTGCTGGGCTATCTCAGGCACTGTACCAGGCTGAGCTGGGAGGAGTCTGGGGTAAGCAAAGCCCCACAGCCATGATCCTCAGTGGGCTCCTGCCTACTTCATTTGTTCATAGTTGGGTCCAGCCTCCAGGAACTTTTGCTTCCTGTTGAGGGCAAACCTCCACTACCTGGAGTGGGCAGTTGGGGGGCTGAGGGGATCTTTCTGTGGCCAGAGCCCTTCTGAGTGTCCCCACACTGTGGCTGTGGGCCTCTGTTCTATCATTCTCAGGTCAGAGGCTCCCTGCCACCCCTCTGGCTGTCCCCACTCTGGGGTCCAGGTCTATGGATTCTAGGACTCTGGAAGTTCTGTCTGTCAGGTCCCAGGTGGTGGAGGTGTCACATATTTCTGGATTTCCTGTCTCCAGCTTTCTGCCTCTGGCATCCACCATTCTAAGACTGTGTTTTAAGACTTCAGATTTTAATTCCAGGCTCTGGCATTCTATGCTGAATTGACAAAACTCAGAGTTCAAACCAGAGGCCCCAGGGACCCAGAGTTCAAACCATAGGGACCAAAGAGAAATCTGTGCATCCCACCCGGCTCCAGGAGGCAGCTGCCTTCCTGACCTAGGCCCAGGGCAGGGCCAGCCCCAGGCCTTACGTAGATGAGGTTCTGTTCAAATCTAATCTTGAGGTTGGACAGCACAGTGGTTTCCTGGAGGTCTCTGGAAGGGCACAGAGAGAAACTGTCAGTGCCCCCAGGGCTGGCTCTGGCATGGGTCTCCCTCCCCCACTCAGTGCAGTGCTGTGATCAGATAGGCTTGAGTTCAAGTCCTGTTCCTGACATCAACCAGCCAGGAGACCTCGGGCAAATTACTTCACCTCTCTGTGCCTGTTTCTTCATCTGTCCAACGGGTATCATAATCAATGGGTATGATACTCCACTGGGGGGTTGGGGGACACACATAGTCACTGTGATTAGATAATGATGCTGACCTACACACCCCCATGTTTTGAGCACCTCCAAAGTGCCAGCATCCTCACAGCAGCCTCCCCACTCCCATCTTGTGGATGAACCAAAGTCCATCTAACTCACAAAGCATACCACGTTTAGTCTTTGTGACACTTCATGACTGAGGCTCTGAAAATGTCCTGGGAGGTAAGAGGCAGGTGTAGGAGGAGCTGCTCTGGCTGAGAGGGTGGGGACCCCATGGTGACCTCTTGCTGACCCTGCCGGTCCTGCCCACTTACTCCAGCTGCGTCATGTCCTCCACACCATCCTCCCTGTGCTGTTCGCGGAACCGCATGGATGGCAGGTTGCGGATGGAGTGCATCTGTGTGAGAGAGAGCTGCGTCTGTAGGTTGCGGGGCAGCCCCCACCCCAGTTGGCCCCTGACTCGGTCACACCTGGGGCCTACTACCACTGTTTGGGAGGGAACCCCAAGGTCAGGTGAGTCCTGCAGGTGTGTCCTTGCTACAGAATGCTGTGGCCCCTGGAACCTGCATGCGACCCTCACACATGAGATGCATGCATGCCCTCAGTGCCCAAGCAGGCGCTCCCATGAGCTCCCAAGCATCCTGCCCTGGAGGGTGAGCAAAGGCATGTGCAGGTACATGGGTACACCTGCCAGTTCCCTCCCGACCGCAGCTCTCCCAGCACCAGCAGATCCCACATGTTGGCTTGTGTGACAGCTCGATGGATGCTTGTCTCCTGGTGCATGGGGCCTCCAGGGGGACAGAGATGGAGATTGTCTCAGCACCACACCTCCATGCTCATTCTGGGGAAAATGTGTGGGTGCCTGCATATGGACCCACACTCAATGGCATTTCTAGCTCATACAACTCCCAGACACACAGGTGTTCTTGTAGGCCTGTGGGCATGCATGCAGGCCTATGGGGCCCGTCCGGGGACACGTGGTGTGCAGGCACATGCTCTACCTGTCCAATTGGCACACACATCTGGGTGGACAGCTGGGTCCCCCCCCTACCCTGGAGGTCTGGAGAATGGAAGTCCTGACGCCACCTTTGGGCTGCGGGGTCTCCTCTGTGAGCACGTCTGTGCACATTGGCAGAGGGTGGGCAAACAACCCTGACCCCCCCGGGATGCCACATCTGCTCAGATCTCATACACTTGCTTTCGTCATTTGGCTGTGGTACACACTCACACACACACTCAGGAAAGCAGGCCTGTGCAGGATCCACATGACTGCAAGCACACATGTGTGCACCCTCAGCCTTTCCAATCCCAGCTGCCCCCTGAGCAGGCTAGGAAAGAGGACACCAGGAGGGAGCCCTGCGTGCCTATCGCTGGGCTGCTAAGTAGGGCACAGCGAGTATCAATCACCCTTTCGGCCCTGGCCTCCGGCCCACCCATCTGCCCACGTGCTTGCCAGCAGCCGCAGACCCTGAATAATTCAGCCACTCACGTATTCCAGGGTGAGGAGGGCCCAGGCATCCTTGCCCCTCACCCCTAGGCGCCCTGCGCCCCGCTCCCGCAATGCTGCAGCCAACATGGCGCGGGGTACCCGCCGCCGGGGCCATGGCCCCCCCAGCAGCCAGGCTGCCCCAGTTGCCATTGTTGAGCCCTGCTGGCTGCCCCTTCTACAGGGCACCTTCTGCAGAGGCTGAGAAGCACCAGCTGCCCCTGCTTGCCCCGCCCACTCCCCTGCATCCTGGGAGAGGCTCCGGTGACCATGCACCTCCGCCAAGGGCCACCCAGCATCAGGCTCGAGTTCTGCCTTGAGTGTGGCAGCCAGGCATGCGCACCCCTCAGAAGGGGCTGCCTGCCCTGCACCTGACATGGGGTTCCAGAAGGACTCCTGGCTCAGTTTTCTCTCTGGCAATGAGGAGACTGGAAGGTTGGACGCTGAGCCCCTCACCCTGACTGATTCCAGAATCCTGCAGCCCAGGAGACTTCAAAGGGCAGCAAAAACCCTGAGGATAGAGGAGGCTCTAATTTGGAGGAGGGTCAGTAGGAGGCAGGAGGAACAGCACAGACCTGGATGTGCAGTGGGACAGGATAGGCACGTCCTGCAGTTTCACATCTGGCTTGGCCAAAATCTCTGAGGGGAAGTTAGGGGGCAGACTTGTCATCCAGATTGGATCAGGGCAGGGCTGCCCAGGGCCTACAGATGAACAAAGATCCTTTGCCGGAGTGACTTGGAAGCAGTTTCCCTTGCCTCTGTCCTGGGCCTGCCTGTGCTGGGCATCCCCTTGTTCAATCCTCCAGAGGTTTGGGAGGCCCAGGTTTGTTCTCCCCAACTTCTAGACCCAGGCACTGAGGCCCCTGCAGGCAGCAGCTCTCCAAGATTGCTGCACAGGGCTCCTCAGGCTGTTTCTCTTTCTCTGTTTCCTAGGCCAGAACCCACAAACCCTCCCTGTAATCTGTGCCCCCATACCTTGTTCTGCCAGCATGGGGGGCCGACCTCCTCCCAGGACCTGCTAAGGGACAGGCAGGTGGCTCCAGGGCCCAGGTGGCAGGACTGGGGGTGGGCATGTACTCGTGGCCAGGGTCCGTGGGCCTCTGCCTGCAGCCAGAGGCAGGACCAGCGAAGACTCCAGGCTCTCGGCTTGGGGTCCTGGGTTGGCTGGACTTGAGGCTTCAGGGTTGCAGGCCCAACTCGCTGGAAAGAGCTCAGCTTCTGCACTTGAGGCATGACCACAGCAAAACGCCCAGGGCCCGCCTGGCGCTGCTCACCCCCCTTGGGCAGGGGCTCTGGGGCCCTGGTGGGCACCAAGGGACCTGGGGCTTGGGGCAGTGTCCCCCAGCGGTGCCATGATGGCTGTGTGGCCCTGGTCTGGTCACACTCAGCCAGTGGGTATGAAAGGCTGGGCCTTAGTGTCTTTTGCTTCGGGAGGACTTCCTTGAGAGGTCTGACATCCTTGGGAGGTGTTGGGGTTGGAGGCTTGGTCTCTGATGGCAGGTGGGGGTCCCCCAGGGTGGTCTCTTCTTCAGGCTTCTCAGGGCTTGGGCCAGCTGATTTGGTGAGCTGTCCAGGCCCTGGGTCATAATGTCTGCCCAGGAAGACCCTGGTCATATCAGCAGCTGAATCCTTGGGCTGGAGAGTGGGGGATGGCACAGGGCCCACGTGCTGGAGAAAGGGGTTTTCCAGCACAGGGGGTGGTCTGGAAAAGCCTCGGCGGCTGCCTGCACCACCAGGCCAGGGGGACGGTGGGCGTTGGATGGTAGGCATGTCCACGTCCCAGCTGGGGGCCAGCAGGGACACTGTCCAGGGCGTCTCTGAGTCCTCGGGTTCACCCGGGTTCTCCCGGTGCTCCAGGGGTGCCTGCCAGGCCCCGGCCCCGGGAGGTTGGTGGAAGGGTGGGCGCACTCGCGGCTTCACAGCTCGAGTGGGTGGCTCGCTGAGGCGCCGCCATGTGTGCGGGAGGCGGGAGGGCAGGTTGAGGGAGTGGCGCCGCTGGCTGTGGCCTAGCACCAGGGGCGGTGAGGGCGGCCTGGGCGAGCCGGGTGGGCCCAGGCGCCTGGAGGCTCGGGGTGGGGCTGGGGGCTCCCGCAGCGAGTGGGTCCGGCGGGCCGGGGGCGGGAAGGGCGGCTGGTAGGGACCCGCGCGCATGGACAGCTGAGGCGACGGAGGCGCCAAGGGCGAGCCGTAGCCGGGGCCTGGCAGGCTCCTCCTCAGCGAGGGCTGGGGCGAGGCCAGCGGGGACCAGGCCCGCCTCCGCGACGCCCTTGTGGAGGCCACAGGGAAGCCGAAGGCCGACCCTTGCTGGTGGGAGCCCCGGAATGAGGGTCGGGGCCCGGGGAAGGCCAGTAGGTCGGGGGGCACCTCCGGGCTCACGGCGGGAGGCTCCAGGAACGCCCACCAGCTGGCCTGCGGCGCCGGGGGCACAAGCCCTGGGGCAGCCCAGGGCGGCGGGTGGCGGCGGAGCGAGCGGTAGGGCGAGGCCGGCCGGGGCAGGCCCGAGAGCGCCGGAGAGAGTTGGGGCGCGGGCGGGGGCCCGGGACTGGGGGGCCGCGGGGGCGCGCGCCGGGTGAGGAGCCCGCTCCAGTGGGAGAGGGTCCTGGACGAGGGAGCGGGCGCGGTGACTGGCGGGCGGCGCGTGTTGTTGCCGCTGCGAGCGCACGGCTGGGCTCTCCTCAGCATGATAGGTGTGCTGGGCCGCTCTGGGTCCATGCCAGCCAGCTTGTAGCCGAAGCGTTTGTAGGCCGCCTCCCTGACCGCTGGGCCGCCCGCCCGGGCCTTCCGGCTGCCCCTGAGCCGCAGGATGGGCTTTTTCTCCGACAGCGTCTTCTTGAGGAACCGCGCCAGCGAGGTCGCGGGCGGAGGCGCGGGGCGGCCAAACTCCTGGCCGAAGCCCAGGCCTCGGTGGGCGCCGAAGGCTGACAGGGCGCGCTGGAGGTTGCGCTGGCGCGGTGTGAGGAAGCCCCAGAAAGGGTGGCGATAGGGCACAGCAGGCACTGGGGGCAGCTCTTCCTCATCCTCCTCTTCGTCCGCCTCTCCCAAGGGCAGCGGAATGTCCAGAGAGGGTGGCAGGGGCACCTCCAGCTTCTCCTTACCGAACAGCTTCACCTGGGGCCGCGGGAAGAGGCGGAACTTGCGGATGAGGGACAGCTTGGACCTGGCGGGCTTGTCCATGCCTTGCTGCTCGAAGAAGGCGGCGCTGGGCAGGCGGAAGGAGGTGCCCTGACGCTCCCCGCCTGCGTCCTCAGGCTCCTCCAGCTCGGCGATGTCATCCATGGGGTGGGCATACGGGTTGTGGGGCGACGGGATGGGCGGTGGTACCCAGGGGTACACAAGGGCCGAGGCTGACTCCTCCGGGTAAAAATAGGGCACCTCAGGGGGGTAGATGGCCTCGTCCCCACTGCCATAGACGCCTTCGGCATAGGGGACGGTGTAGGGGACCCCGTAGGGATCAAAGTAGGGTACGTCGTAGCGAGTGTGGTACGGGAGGTCATAGGGCGGGTATGGCGCATCGCAGGGCGCGTAGGGATCCAGGTAGTAGCGGTGTGGGTGCGCCTCGCCCTCGTACTCGTCGTGGTAGCTGTAAGGAGAGGAGTACCCCGACGGGGGCGCATACGGGGGTTCGTAATCGTCGTAGCCGTAGCCGTAGCCATAGGTGTGCCCCAGATCAAAGGGGCCACTGTAATAGTCCGGGTGGTAGTAGTCGTAGGGGTCCTCGGGCGGGTACCCATAGTAGTGGTCACCGTAGGGTGGCCAGGCCGGGCTGTAGGGGCGGAGGCCCGCCACGTAGGGCCCCTGCTCTTCGTAACGGTGGAGCAACTGCCGATCGTAGTAGTCGTCGCCGTCACGGTGGTAGTCATAATACTCGCCCAGGTCCTGGAAGCCCTCGAGCCCATACAGCGACTTGCGGGAGCCCGAGTGATGGAACGGGGCCTCGTCCTCAAAGGGCAGGAAGCCTAGGGGCTCACCCGACGCGTAGATGCTGCGGCTGCGGGGGAACCTCCGGATCCGGCCCCCGGGCCGCAGGATCTCGGCACCCGACGGGAAGGGCAGCTTGCGGGAGCCCACGCGGGAGCTCGAGCGCTGCAGCCAGGCATCCACCGTGGCCTGCTCGCTGCCCGACTCCTCGGCCTTCTTGAGGAGGAACTTCTTGGTGAGCCAGTTGATGGCGGTGGACGCCTTGCTGAGTGACCGGGCACGTGGCCGCAGGCGGCCATAGCCACGGCGGCCAGGGAAGCGGATCACCATGAAGGACGGCTTCTTGCCCTTCATCGCCCGCTTCTTCTTGCCCATGCGCATCTGCGTCATGAGCTTCGAGGTGGACTTGAGCACCGTGCGGGCCTTCTTCTTGCGCTTGGTCTTCTGGGGGCCGGTGTGGAGGCCCCAGAAAAAGGTCGAGGCGCTGCGGAACTGGCCCTTCTTGGAGATCTTGGGTGTGCGGTCGCGGAATCCCATAAACAATCGCGACGTCCCCTTCAGGCTCCGTTTGGGCTTCTCTGGCTCTGGCGCCTTCTTCCCCTTTTTCCCTTTCTTGGCTTTCTTCTCCTCATCTTCCTCCTTCGCCATGGTGGCTGCCTGTTTCCTGCTGGGCCTGGGGCCCGTGTCACGGGCTCAGGGACTTGGGAGACACGGGTACCTGCTCAGTCTCCTGCCTGAGGCTGGACACGCGGCCTCCTCAGGCTGGAAGCAGACGGGACTGGCCTTGGGTGGCGTGGGGAGGGCCGGGTCAGGATTCCGGGAGGGCGGATCCATAATTCATCTCCTCTAGAGCCGCCTTGGGTTTCACCCTAGAGCAGTGGTGGAAAGTGTGTGGGTGTTGTTTACCGGGATGGGGAAGCCTGCCTGTGAGGCCTGTGCTGGGCAGGACATTCTGGCCTTGGAGTCGTCATGGGAATATTGGTGCTGGTCCTGGTCAGGCCCTCTCTGGACCTCAGCTGGCTCAACCCCCTGAAGGAAGCCTTTGGGTCACTTCGGCTTCACAGAGGAAGACAATGAACCACAGAGATGGGATGCCACCTAATGCCACCTGTCCTAAATCACCAGCACACCTGCACTGGGCCACAAGTGGGGCGTAGAGTGGGATAGTCAAAGCCCACCAAATCATCTTGGAGAACCTTGGACCCTCTAGGTCCTGGGCAAGGGAGGAGGGGAATGGGCAGAGCAGGTGCTGGGCTTTGGTCAGTGTAACGGGAGCTGCCTGGCTCTTAGGAACTGAATAATACATGAGCAGGGGAGCCGGGCTGCAGGCTCAGAAGGTACAGCAAGAAGGGGTGTTTCAGTGGAACTCCACTTCTGTGTGTGTGTGTGGGGGGGGTGTTGGGGTGTTTCAGTGGAACTCCACTTCTGTATGTGTGTGTGGGGGGTGTTGGGAGGTTTCACTGGAACTCCACTTCTGTGTGTGTGTGTATATGGGGGGGTGTGTTGGGGTGTTTCAGTGGTATTCCACTTCTGTGTGTGTGTGGGGGGGGGTTGTTGGGGTGTTTCAGTGGAACTCCACATTTGTATGTGTGTGTGGAGGGATGTAGAGGGGCAGAAATGGAGAGTGAGTCAGGCCTGGCTCTGACCCTAGACTCTGTCACTAACTGGCTGTGTGGGCCCAGGAAAGCCCTTTGTCCTCTTTGGTGCTCAGTTTCCTCTGAAGAATGGGAGTGATAAGCTATACCCTGTCTCCTTCAACAAAAAGGAGCGAGATCTGATGGAGCTACTGGGTAACTAGAGATGCCTCCTGCTGGCGCCTGTCTGGGGTCCCTACCTACCCCTCTCCTTTCCCCTTACTTTCTGCCCTGGCTGAGTAGGCTGTGGCCATGTGGTTTCTGCCTTCTCTGGGCAGAGCCGATTGCTTCATACGGCCTGATCTAAGGCTGCATGTCTGAAATCTGGTTGGTGGCCAGTCTAATTCACTTTTGAGAACTTGCACTAAAAGAGGAGGGGGTGGGAAAAACGGCAGGCCACCGGAGGTGGGGAGTGGCAGCTCTGAGACCTGAAGCCTCAGAACCATCTCCTCCTCTTCCTCCTCCCTGTTCTCAAGATGGACCTCAATTGACATCAGGCTCACTACTCACTGAATTCCAGTTCAGTCTTTTGGTCCCAGAGCTAATTGGTTGGTTAAGGTTTAGCATAAGAGACCCCAGAGCAGCAAGGTTCTGGCCCTGGTTCTGCCACTTGCCACCTCCACGCCCTCAGATCAGTGGCTTCAGAGCCTCAGCGTGCTCAGCTGTGAAACAGACAGGGGAGGCCTTCCCAGACAAGTGGCAGGAGTGGATAGGGGACTGGGCAGCAGGTCATGTCCCGGACTCCATCTCAAAAAAAAAAAAGAAAGAAAAGAAAGACAGGACTGTGTTGGTCACAAGGCGGGTCCACTTGTGAGCATACTAAAACCACAGCATTGAACACTTTGGTCACTGTTCCACATTTCCAGATGTTTACTGTGTGCCAGGCTTGGTGCTAAATGCTTTTCTGAAGTATCACACTAGATTCTCACATAGGTAGGACAGGAACTGTTCTTCACATTTTACAGATGAAGGGCTTGATCTCAGGTTAGATCCCTCAGCCGAGAGCCCACAGTGAGGAAGCAATGGGACCTGTGACGGCAAGGCCTGTGTTCAGAACTGCCAGGCCACACAGAACTCAACTCACTACAACCTCCTGAAGTGGGTGTATTATTCTTCCCATTTTGCAGAGGAGGACATGGGCCAGAGAGCTTGTAGATGGAGTTGAGCCTGGGCAGTCTGGCTCCAGAGTGTCCACAGTCTCAACCACTGGCTCACATGGGTTCTTAGGAAGTAGGAGAAAAGGCGGCTCAGGCCGCCTTGTGAAAAGAGTGGAGCGGGGACAGTGGCATGGCTGGGATCATGCTGTGATGGAGTCCAGTGGACACATGCAGGATGAGGTGAAACAAGCTGGCTCTGGTGAGGGGCTAGATGGGGCTGGGATGAGGGGAGAGCCAGCTGAACTTGGGGTTGGGTTGGTACAGCTGGAGGGTGTGGGGAGTCTCTAAGGTGAGGCCAGGTGGGGCGAGAACGCCATGTTTGGTCCGGGACACGACCGGTTTGGATGGCTATGGGACAGTGCAGTGGAGAGTCAAAAAGGCTGCTCGGACCCAGGTCTGGCGAGATGGAGGCTGAAGGTGGGGTGAGCTGTCTAGGATAAGGACAGAGTGGGAAGGAGAGGCTCTCGGCTTTCTTGCCAAAGGAGGGTTCTGAAACGAGAAACTGTGGAATCTAAGCTGGAGAGGAAGAAAGATGGAGAATGAGCGAATGCACAGGCATGGGACGGATGAATATTCATTTCTTTGGCTCCTTTGTACCTGAGTCTTCTAAAGCTGCAGGCCAGATGACCCCTGGGAGGCTGTAGGGATGCCAGCTGGGAGCCGAGTACAGCTCTGCTGCCTGGGCAAGGCAGGTGAGGGTGCATATTCCTGCCTGTGATTGCCAGGGAGTGTGAGTGATGAGAACAAGGTGGCTGACAGGGTGAGACCCAAGCCTGGAGCTCACCCAGGTTGGAAGGCGGTCTGGGACCTTTGAGGGGGACTTAGGGAGCTTCCCCAGCCCTAAGGGCACCATGAACTGCCACTTCACACTGACCTGGGCATACACAGCTGCATGATCTCTTGCTCACACTCTCACATGCAAATGTAGACTGTACAACCATCCTTCCCACAGATCCAGAAAGCCCAGGACACAATAGAGCTGTAGTGCCTGCCTGACCCCCACACACGCAGACCTAGCCCAGGAACAAGCCCATCCACAGTGAGGAACATGCAGCCCAGTGGCAGGAGCCTCTAACCCAAGCCCTCACTGCCTGAGGACCCTCCCTGCCTCTGACCTCATTTTCCACCATTTGTCAGCCAGCCGGGGGGACAGAAAAGGCCTGGATCTAATCCAAGGCCTGGACTCAGCCTGACACCCTATGAACTCAAGGCCTTCCCCACCTCACCCAGGGCCAGAGCCCTTGCCTGTAAAGTGGAAGTGGGAATGGCCACCACCCAGGTAGAAACCCTCACTTAGGGCCTCATGGCCAGGCATCAGGGCTGTTGGGAGAGGGGCCAAGGTAAGCCAAGGAGCCCTTGCCTGTCTTGATATCCCACCATCACCAGGAGGGGGTTGTGTGGGCATCACACCCCTCACAGATGAACAAAGTGAGGCAGTGAAGGGCCTCAAGGTGAGTTAGGGGCAAGGCCTCAGCTCTGCTGCTGCTCCTGCAGCCTGGGATGGGAGGGTAGCTAGTGGCCAACCCCAAGGACTCCAGGCTAGGGTCCCCTTACCTGGGTCCCGTGGCCTGCTCCTAGCCTGCATGCTGCCTCATGGGGGTCCTCTGGCTGGCCCAGGGGCACGATCGGCCCAGCAGAGCAGCTCGGTGTTACGGGGAAGGGAGGCCCAGCCCACCACGCCAACCGCCTCGGGACCCATGTATATTTAATGATGTCTATTATTCCTGTTTTGTCTCTGGAAAGGACTGAGCAGCTGACAGGGGAGCCACAAACAGCCCAGAAGCTGGGCCTGGGCCTGTTCCATGTTCCAGCTGGGCCCCTGGGAACTCTCTATCTCTCCTGGCAGCCTCAGAACCTGTTGCATCCCTCCAAAAAGGCACACCTCCTCCAGGAAGCTTTCCCTGCTGCTCTGAGGTCTTACATCTAGGCTCTGCATTCACAAATGTGCAACCCACACTAGCTTCCAAGGGACAGCAGAATACTGTGGGGGGCCTGGCACTGTCCCTGGCACACAGTAGGTGTTCATCTAGCCCCTGCCAGCCCCTCTGCTCCTGGCTTCTGAGGCAACAGGAAATGATCAGCCACCTTGTTCTCATGGGGGAGCCTCCCTGCCACCCCAGATGGCCACAAGGACCTCCTGGGATGCTGCCCACCTTGGCAGCCAGGCCCCTTTGGAGGGGCCAGTCTGGGCCTGACACCCCTGACCAACCCCCTGGGCAGAGCCTACCCATGCCTGAGTGAGGAACCCTGCATTCTCCTTGCCACCCATGGCCTGGGGCTGCCCTGGGGATCCAGGCTCCACCCTCTTTAACTCCCAGGCTCACTGCTACCCTCAATACCTGACCTGTGCCCACCTGACTCAACCTGGCTACTGTTCAGCAAGTTACAAAGTGTTCTCAGTCTGGACAGGAACCGTTTTGTATTTCAGAAAGGAGAGCCAGGAGAACTGGGGACTTAGAAAACACAGATTCTAAACTGAAAAGTCCCTGGCCCAGGCATGCAGAGCCAGGGTCCGGGGGTTTTGTGCCGGGCAGGGGCTGCCCTGGGAGGGTCAGAGAGTAGGAGGCACTTTAGGACACCCCTTAGGCTGTAGAGGGTGTCACCTGGGCCTTTGAAGCCACAAACCTCTGCTTCCAATTCTGGAGAGCCCTAAGTGGAGGACCCAAGGGGGTTTCTTCCTGGAAGGGCTCCCACCCTGACTGTCAGAGAAGCCGGCAGGAGCTGAGGGAGGGAGATGCTGTAACAGCAGCCACAGCCTCCAGGGACCCAGGCAGGCCCAGCTTCCAGCCTGGCACTGAGCATGCCATCTGCTTTAGGCCCCGGCTGGCAGGCAGGTGGGCAACTTGCTCCCTCAGTGCAGGGGCTGGGGGCACAGATGCAGGTCCAGCACTCCAAACTCAAACCCCCCATAGGAAGCCTCAGTCTTGGGGGAAATGCCTCCAGCCGAACCCCTCTTCCCCAACATACTCTTCATCTGCCTACTGAAGAAACTCCTGGAAATAGCAGAGACTTGTGGGACCCTTCCTGGGTGTGTGCTATTTGTATTTTTCTGTTTGGGCATTTGTGTATCCCAGTAGGATTGACGCCCTAGGCAGATGAGGCAGG